ATTTTTGTAGTATTCACACTGTTTGGGAAGGATGTAGTTAAACCAACCTAGTTACAAATTAATGAGAAATAGAGATAGGAAGAGATAGCGACAAAGAAAGAGAGAATGATAATCTGAGTGAATTAAGAAGCTCTCAGTATTATATCATATTGTAATATTTTATTCAAACTTTGCAGCCAAAGCTCACAGCCTTGGGGAAAATATTCCAAAGACTTTCCATTACACTTTCAGTAAAACTCAAACTCCTTTTTTGGACCTGAAAGCTCCATGTGACTGGCCTGCCTACTTCTACAACTTCATCTGATCTGACTTTTCCCTTGGACCATTATACTCAAGAAACAAAGAACATTAGACCTTGTACAGCTTCTTTGGAATTTTGGGTAGAAGAACTATCACATTTTACTGACACATGTAAAAGCAAAATTGGTAAGTGAACCCAAGTTGAAATAAAAGTACAATAAATCAATCAGCTTTGTATTTATAGTAGTTTGCTAGAACATTACTCGTCAATTCAAAATATATTAAAAGAATAAATTTCTAGTACACTAATAAAAATTCATTTTTTTGATGGTGGTTCCCCCAGAATGCAAGAACTGTGTATCATTTAAAAACATGTAATTTATTGATATAAGTAAGGAAGAAATGCTATTTTACCACACTGATGGGTGAAAAAATATTTCACAAAGCAAATTTTACATGGAAAATTAATTTTAAAATGCAATCGATTGAGGCAGAATTCTGAACATCTATTTATGAACCAAATGTGACTCATATCTGCAGTGAAAATGATATTATTACACATTAAAATTCATAAACCCCTTCACAGAAAAGAACTCATGACAGAAGAAGTCACTCAGTATGGTAAATGAAATAGCCCACACTGTGAAAATGAAATAATCCAAATAAATAGTTTTATAAGAACTTCTAATTATTGGATCAGCTAAACTAATGGAAACACAGAATTATAACAGAAATACAGACCCTGAATCAGGGATCCTGCTAATAATGATAATCACCACTTATTCAGTATTTTTAATGAAACCACACAGATAATTTACCAGCAGAACTAAGTTTCAATATCATTTCTTGGTGACTCAAAACTCTTGTACGTCATTATGATCCATGTCTTTTATTCTCCCAATAAAACTGATTATAGCAAGAGCCTCTAGAAAGCATGAGTAATCACTAATGAATGAATACAGGATTATGTATGTCCATTTCCTTAGCAATACTTTTTAATACTTCCAACAAGTGACTTAGTATGAAGATGCTAGAAACTTAAAGCATCTCCAAATATACTTCATTATCATTTGTACATATTTCAGCATAATATAGATAATATTTCTAAATATGTTCCCTTTTTATTTATGTAATCTAATTCTATCCCACTGAAGCATCTATGATCTGAAAGTGAATATGTACTATTTTTGTAATAGAAATGAAAAAAGAAAAATTAAGCTTTTAATTCTTAAAATATACTCCTTGCTCAATTTTCCACAAAATAAATAATAATCTTCAATTAATTACTGGGCTGTACTTCTTTTTACTAACTACTAAAAAACTGCAATTCACAACATAGATCTAGACTTAGACAGTACCCATCTGTGCATATGTGAATGCATATATTAATGAGTGTGCATGCATAAAAAAAAACCAAGATTTTTTGAAACAGAAGTATTTTCTACATTGTTTGCATATGAAGAATAAATCCTGAGTGATGAGACCATACTTTTATAATTAGGTCATGCTATAGAAAGGATAGATAATTCCATTGATTAAGAAAAAGAAAACTCAGTCAAGAAAAAACAAGGATATTTCCATTAGCCAAAAACCAAGAAAAAATTCTGCACTACAAAGAAAGGTGAGAAGACAGGAAAAGGCAAACTAATTACAATGGAGTGTCCTAGGATCTTAGCATGAGGATGGAGTGATGAAAATATCCAAATAGATTTGGAAGAGCAATCTCAGTGAACAGAGTGTTTGCTCAGGGGGAAAGAGTTTATCTCCTTCTCAGGATGGAGGCAAAACCAGCAAATTCCTTAACAATATCTGTTCAGTTTGGCACCATCTCCAGCGAGATCTAAGTGTTGCTCCAGAACATCATGCAGAGTAAGAGGAAGACATGAAACCAACATAAAACCCTGCACACCACAGACTGCAAGAGAGAAAATGATTTAAACTTAGGTCAGAACAGAAAACTCAAGAAAACCAAGTGACTCAAGTAAGCCCTGATTTTGGACAAAAGATAAAACTGAAAATAAGAACCTTGAAAATAAAACCATGCCTTAGGGTCAATGACGGAGTAATTCCAACGAAGGTCAGATTACATTTGTGACCTGTGTCACAAATTCAAGATTTCCTCACCTTGCTTTCATGGGTTTCCCCTATACTTAAAAAGTAAAATATTCCACCCCAAAAGGGATAAATGTTGAAAGATGAAAAAGAAAAGCATATGTGAAGAATTGAGCTTTGAATTAATGGAATATTTGCCAATGAAAGATTGAGTTAAAGGCAGAGGGAATGAGTGAATTACCTCCAAAAAATACTTTCACAATCCCAACTATCATCACATAAAGCAGAAAAAGATCAAGTGTCAGAAAATACAAAGGAATGTTTTATACAAGATCTGACATGTAACACACAAATTTTTAGCATTACCATAAGTAATCTAAGAATTATCACCCTTGATTAAGGATATCAGTTTTGCATTTCTCTTCTCTTTAAATCCCTTTAGTTCATCCATCACCAAGTCCTCTCAGTTCTTCCTCAGTGTAGCTAAAACTTGCCCACTTCTCTGGTCCATTGACAGTGTCATTTCTCACCCAGGCTACTAATGTAGCCCATAGCCTGGTAGCCTCCTGTGTTCAGAGCCAGGGTTTTGGGAAGGTGATTGGATCACTGGAGTATTACACTCATCATTGGATTAATTCACTGAGGAGTTTAGAAGTTAACTGTGCTGTAGGGACCTGGACCCTGGTCAGAAGAGGGGTGTGACCTGAAATAGTGTCTCTCCATGTCTCCTCCCTCTGCTGTTTCCTGGCAACCATGATGTGAGTAGAGTTTTGTCTGCCATACACAACTTGAAAAGAATATAAAGAGAGTTACTTCTTGGAAGATGGAGAGAAAAAGCATAACTGGAGAACTGAGAATGGACAATATTTACCAAAGAAAGACTGAAGTAAAGACAGAGGGCATGAGAAAAGAATGAATTATCTCCAAATACACTCACAATCCCATAATCATTACAAAAAGCAGAAGAAACAAGTTACAGAAAATAAGTCATGTTTTGTACAAGGCTGTTTTTGCTGTGGAGCTGGATGATCATGACTGAAACTGTGAACCAAAATGAGTTATCCTCCTTTAAGTTTTGGGGCTTGGTACTTCATCCCAGTGACAAGAAAGTGACTAAAACATCCCGATAAAGCATTTGGCCCTTATAATTTATTCTCTAGAAATAAACAAAAGTGTTTTAAATGCTTCCATTAACTCTCACTTTAGTTAAAATAAAAATTAAATTCCTAACCAGGCATGGTGGCATGTGTGTGTAATGGTAACACTAAGAGGTGGTACGTGGTGTGTAATGCTAACACTGAGGCAGGAAGATCGTGAACCTGAGGATACCCTGGGCTACATAGTGAATCCAAGGCAAACCTGAGCCGCATAATGAGACCCTATCTCCAAAAAACAAAAACAACAAAAGAAAAAAATTGTAATTACCATGGCTTGTCTTATGAGTTTTATACTCCTTCCTCCAATATTACTCTTAAGTAGTTCCCTAATCTGACGCTGACCTCTCTGGTCATCAGAATCACAGTGTTTTCCCACCAAGCCAATGTGGTTTACTCTCCTCCTAGAAACTTCCTGTCTGGAGATTATCAGGTGAACCTCTGTGTCACACTTCTTAGGACATCCAGCCATTTCCTTCATTTGTTTGTTTATAGTATACAATTCAGTCTTCCCTTTAGAATGTAAGTTATTGAGGGCAGAGGACTTATGTGCATCTCATTCACAGGTTTATACGTATTGTAAAGACATTGCTGAATGAATGAATGAAGAATACATGAATAGGGAAATGGTTACCATCTTTCCACAGCTTTCTTTCACTAGATCTCTCATGACACTGCAAATTATGCCATAATAGGCATAATGACCAGGAAACAGGAAGTAAAGAACAGAAGAAACTATATACCTTTAATTGCAATATGCAGAAGATTTAAAAAGGACAGAGGAGATAAATCTTAATTTAGAAAAGGAAGGAAAAATAGACACCTAAAGTATACGGCCTCTCCTTCAATGCTGATCCTTCCAATTCCGAATGACAGAAGAAAACTTTTTATGTGTTATAAAGTATTGTGTAAACTGTCTTTTCTGAATGGAAATATTTACAATTGACTCAGAAATGTGATACCTGGTATGTTCTTATAAGAGGACATATTAGATCAAATGAGGATTTTTAACCTATTGCATTTTCATAAAACAGAATAAGCATGTTATTAATGAGCACAAAACATAGGATTTCATCTTTTTCATATTTGAAGGATAAGCAAGTGCTTAGTTAGGGTAAAAGTGATTAGGAAATAACCTTATCTTTCAATGTAAAATTTACATTAATAGATTTCTGAAGAAGTTGCTCTTAAATTTTAACTGAAATTATTTTATTTAAAGAAATTTAAAAAGATAGTGGAATATTTGTATAAAACATTAGCAGTTTAAAATATGATCAGCTTATAAATTGATCAGACTGTCTTATTAAGAACATAAACTTAGTGTTATGAATAACATACCTTTTTGTTTTAACATCAGAAATTATATTGCAAGTGCCAGCACTATATATGAGGAAAATTGTTTTCTTAATAAAAATGTATTACATATACTACTAATAATCAGTTTGTTAATAGAGAGTCACGTTCTAAAGTTTAAAAAAAACTACATTCCTATGATGTTACAGGCTAATATTTATTCTCAGAACTATTTCCAAAAAAAAAAGAAAAAAATTTTACCAGACATAAACTGTGTAATAGAGGATAATTCCATTTGGCTCCAGGGGTGGTTTCCATGACAACTTCACCGTGACACCCGACAACTGTTTCACAGAGAAGTCTTGAGGGGGAGAACCAGGAGCTGAAAAGTTGTCACAAAATAATGCATTAATATATTCATTGAATATACGAGAAGAGATTAAAATGCAAGATTAAAATGGAAATACACATAAAATTTTAGGATAAACTGACAAATGAATTAAGTTTGGTGCTTTTCTCCACAAGCACAAGAGTCCGACTGTTTACTTTCAAATGAGATGATAAAAGATTTTGCATGGTGGTGTTAGAACATCTGTTTCTGTGATTCAATGGAAAAAAATATTTCATGAGAAAGTAGAACAAGGAGTATGGCACAGTGACTCAACTACTGTCCAAGTACGCTTTGGTAAATTGTTATCCTCAATAAAAACAAAACTTTATTCGGGTGAATATAATTTACAGTAAGTCATCTATGTAGACAATAAAAAGAGTTCGGGGAAAATAATCACTTTCGAAAAATGGGAAAGTAATATGCGTAACACTGTTAAAATGACTGACCTCACCAATGAAAGCTACATTCCTCAATTTCATTTGTGTCATTAAAATGTAAAATAATATCAAAATCTGTTCACTGAATCTTTAGAATTCACTAGTTTAAAAAGGAAACACTGAGACAGCATATAAAACAAGAAAAGTTGTACTTGTACTTTCAATATAAATGGGTAAAAATGAAACAATTGAGCTCTACATTGAATTAGCAATTCATTGAATAAGCAGGAAAAAATGACTGCAAATTAATCAGACAAGTTTATATTTAAGTTAGGTAAAATATTTAGAATGGCAGTTCTCACCTGTTGTATAACAGCAAAATGTCTTCAGAATTTAAAAAATGATTTAAGACACCTTATTTTAGTCATTATGAAAGAGATGAAAAGGAACTAAACCCCTTCCCTGTCCAATGGCAACTGAGTTCTGAGGACATATTTACTTATGAAGTTAATTTTTACTTCCAGAACAAAGAGAATCTAAATATCAAACAATGAAAGATCAGACATGCATGTCTCACAGACAGCAAGCATATCAAAGAGAGGCAATGACTCAAGACGAACCCACACAGATGTCTGACTTAGACTGCGGCAACCAATGAATACTACCACAATGCTTTGGTGAAATACTTCGATAGAGGAAAAAGCAAGAATGGACTTACAAAGGGAGAAGGAGCTTCCAAAGATTTTGTTATGTGATTAGAAAGAAAGCAATGCAGAAAAAAAGCTTCCTCATTCTGGAAGTATCTAATTTATATTTTGCTTGGGTGAATGATTCTAGACTCTGAACATTCAATGATGTAGCCTCTTTCAAAAATGAGAATATTGAAATAAAAGAAGAGGGGAAATACCCATAAATACTTTTGATACATCCAGATTTATGGATAAGAATTCTTTTTTAAGGAAAAATTTGTTTCAAAATAAGCGGTTTTGTTTTTGTTTTTTGTCTTTTTGAGACAAGGTCTCGCTATGCAGTTCCAGTTGGTCTTGAGCTCACTTTATAGCCCAGGCTGTTCTCCAACTTGCCATGATTCTCCTGCCTCAGCCTCCCAAGTCCTGGAATTTCAGGCGTGTGCCACTACACCTGGCTACAATTTTTCAAACATAAAATATAGATTCTAGTTCCAAATATATGCCTCAAAGTCATTTTCTTAGCACAATATATGTCTATAACTTGGGGAGGGTCAACGTAAAGCAGTCTAGGGTAAAGTTGATTTTATTCTGGTTAGGGAAAGGTTTATTTATATATTCAACATGAGGTCTGTTAACATTCAAGAACAACACCTTCACCAATTATGTACAAAAATGTAGAAAATAGCATGAATTCATTAATAAAATAATGCCACAGAAAAATGTGAAAGTTTCAGTAACAAAATATACTCCAAAATGCATGTAATATGTATTCTGATGAATGCAGAATTTGATGTTCAAACAGCTCAAATGGAAATTTTACTTTAATAAATACCCATGGAAACTTTTACAAAGGATTGATGACTTCAAAAGCATCTGGTCTAATTAATGCAAATCTTTGACAGCCTCTTGTTCCATGACTATGAAATCTCTATAATGCTGGATGATCACACCTGATTGGGGGGAGGTAGGTGAATCTTTACATTATATTCCGTTCTATATTTATATTTCTTGAAAAGGGATAGAACAAAAATGTATCAGTGTGCCCTGCTGTATTTACCGTCTTCTTCAGTCAGTATGCTTAATGGTGCACTCCGAACCCCTTCACCCTTCTGTGTGCTGGCAGATACTTCAATCATATACTGGGTATATTTCTTCAATCCTAATAGGAAATAAACCACACAAGATAAAAGACTATATAATACGTAAAAGTAATTCTGTAAAGTGGCTCTCAATTCAACAACCTTCCCAAGTAAAAACTAAATAAAATATACTTTCTTGGCAGCAGTAATTCATTATGAAAATAAGATACAGGAGAATATGACAGCAATACAGACAAAACTCTTCCTCCTTTCATAAGAGCAGGGAGGGATTGACTAAAGAACCCTTTTACGTGATTCTCAACAAACTCCTAGCTTATTGTATTAAAAATTCCTCATATCTGGTACAGAAATAATGTATCACATAACATTAAGCTAATATTTTCTGGCCACACTTTCAACATAAATGTAAATATCCAACACTCAACTTATTCTTTTACCTTTAATATTCTGGGTCAAAGATGTTGTGTTTATAGTTCTTTCCTCATTTCCATTGCTTCTCTTCAGATAAATTGTATATTTGTGTATGATCCCATTGGGATTAGCTGGGGGAGTGAATGATATCTCAATCTCTCCAGAAGAAATATTTTTGTAAGTAATATTTTCTGGCGCACTATAAGGCACTGGAAAAAAACAAAAATATAATTGTGTAAAATGACTTTATCTTTAAAATCTTTTCCACAAAAGTTCTCATGGAAGAGGACTAGAATATTTATTTTACAAACACCAACCTGCGTGTGAATGCAGTATATACCCTTAATAGAATAAGGTGTACAGAAATGATAGTATTTGTAACTTTATGGGCAGAAATTTCATCTGAGGGAAAAATACTAGGATTCAGCAGAACACTTATAGAATTATATGCTTATTGAAAGACTCGAGACTGGAATAAGCTGCTTTGTATTGTTGACTATGTAGATACAAGAAAGAGAATTGGAAATCACTTAAAATGGAGTCTGTTCCTCATTAATAATACTGTTTTTTAAAATATTGATACTAGTTTTCACGCTCAACAAGTTCTATCACCAGGCAAGGAACCCCTTTTAGAGATGAAGCTTAGTAGTATAACCTGGAAGCAAAACTGTCTACTAAGAATATAGTATATCATTAAATAAAATATTATGTTTCTATATTTAATTAATAACCACCTTTTGTATTAAATGCAATGGTCATAAAATAGTTCTCTATTGCATTCAATTTTTAAAACAATATCCGGTGTGCTAATATGGGCAAAATACTGATAAAAGTATCTTAGCTGAATGAGTATCATATTTAAAAATAAGTAAACTCTACAAAGTTAAAATAAATTTTCTAAAAGAATTTGAGAAAATTCTTTTCATGACAAAATCAGAATCAATGATGACCAAAAATGAATCAAAAATCAGAAAACAGAAAAAGGCGGGGGGAATAGTAAAAACAGAAATCCTGAAAGAAACTAATACCAGAGCAACTCGGTCATTGGGAATACTTGTTATTCCTGATAACCCTGCATTTTTCTTTATTAATTTACATGTAGAATGTCAGAAAAGAATATAAAGGCTGGGACAGTTGAAAGATAAGAACATCCTTATATAAAGGATGGAATCCTTGGTTGGAATCCCAAAGACTGAACCTACCACGAAGGATGTTATATTGAATAAACGATTCTGTGGAACACATTGGCCCCTTCCACAGGAGCCGCAGAATTCATATTGAGTTCCTAACTGCTGAACTGTGGCAAGCTGAGGCATTTATTCATAATCACTGGGAGTAAAAATAAACCAAAGTGTAACAAGGGAAGAACAGTGGAAAGCAAGAAAGAAAAGAAAATATTCTGTTTTAGAATTACAAGCTTATTCTCAAGAGCATACGTGGTCTAAATCTGTAGCCTATATATGTATACAGGAAAGAGTCTATGCTTAGGAATTTAAATTAAAATGAAAATGTAGTCCAGAGTTGTTCCAAGTCTTAAACAACTAAATGAAATAAATAGAAAGCTTCCCTGGAGAAATTTACTTTAACTCAAACCACAAAAATTTCTCACAGAAATTTGAGCCCACTAAGAAAATCACTAAACACACAGATAGATCAGATACCAAAAGTCAAAGTCAGCAAAGAAAAATAATAACAACAACACACATCAGAGATTTAAAACTTTCATATATTGCAATTATCAAAGAATAAAAACACAATGATTAACATATGAAACACATTTTTTAAAATATGAGTAAAGACTTCAGTAAATCATACATAGCAGAAATAATAACCAAGCAAGTCTGAGATAGAGCCAGGCAAGTTTTCTAAAGCTCAAGGACAAAGTAACTGAAATTAAAAAATCTTTAAATATTAAGGAGATAGACTGGAATGAGGGGAAGTCTGTTTACAAGGACAGTAATACCAAAAACATTATCAAGATTGCAGCTCAAGGACCAATTATGAATAAAATATAAAATGGCAGATCAGAGACAGGCAACATACTGAGAGGATATAAAATAATAGAATAATGAAGAAACAAATATTTGAAGGAATAACGGCTGTGATTTTTAGATTTGTAAGATATCAGGGATCAGATTCAAAGAATAGCAATAAACTGCAAATAGGAATTTTTAAAATTAGACTTAAACTTATAACTGTGAAAATAAAAAATACCTACAAGAAGATCTTAACAGCACCAGAAAGAAGACAGACCATTTAAATAACAGTGATAATTACACTGACAATTAATATCAAATGAAAAATAACTAGAATTCTATGAATAGAAAAATTAGCAAGAGCAAAATAAAAACATTCAGTCAAAACCTGAGAACAAATACCAAGATATCCTTAATAAATGACATTACAAATGATGTTGCTTTGACCTATTTTTTTTAAAGAAAAATTTTTACCGGAGATGAAAGACCACAGTAGCAAAGGAGGTGGCTTAAAAAATGTCTGTAAAAAATATTAACGTAAGAATTATCTGGGGAAGAGATTAAACAATATAAATTAAATAGGTAAACCTTATTGTCATTTTAGAATCTTTTTATAAAATTCAAAAGGAATTTAAACTTTTATTATTAGTATTCTAACTATGTTGGGTATAAAGAATACTACTTTTAAATGTAGTAAAGTACTAAAATGTAGAAGCTTTGGAAGCATAGGTTTGGTGTTCTCTCAATTATAACTAGTTGCAGGGAATATTATATTTAAGGCAGAATTAATAGGAAAAACTTACACAACATGTGAAGACTTCTAAACCTTTGGGGAAAGTTATAATTCTGCACATGTTCTGATACAATAATGCGTAGCAATATAACCCTACCGACACTTCCCAAACATCCTAAATCTCTAATATCATCCCAGCCCAATCCATTATATTAAGAAAAATCTGCAATGATTATCCCAAATCATTGCTTAATCTTCTGACTGTAATTAAATGTTAGACGCACTGAGAACATGGTATCTATGCTCTCTTAAGTACTAGATTGTTGTTCTCCCATAATCCCTATAATCTAGGGACTGAGAATGGGGTAGTTGTATTTATTACTCCCTTCTCCCATATTTATATCTTTTCTCCTTCCTTCTTCCTGAAACATCACAGATCCTTTGGAGTCACATTCCATTAGATATCACTAAGACACTTTCTTAAGTGACATCATTTAAATGAACTTATGTCACCTTCCTAAAACATTGATAAGATGCCACTTATAACAACATCTTAAAGATTTTACCACCAGGGTGACTGACTTCATCACTCTTAGATATGTCAATATCTATTCAAATTATCGGTTCAATCACTTGTACTCTATTTTTTGATCTCTGTAATTCAACTTGACATTGATCACTGGCTTTCATAGCAGTTCTTGAGAGCTTGTAATTACCTCCGTCAGTTTTCCTTACATTGGCTACCACTTCTTACCTTCACAGCTTACTGACTTTTACATTCCCAATCCACAAACCCTTTAACCCTTATCAAATTTTCACTACGTATGTCACAGGTGTCCTATGTCTTCATTTCCCTGTGTACTCAGCTCAGAGTCCAGAGTCATTACAATCACTTCTGAGCAAATTCCACTTCTGTTTCTATCTTACTTTCCTGTGTAAGTCCATTTCAGAAATCACGTTTATCAGAAATGGAAAACCTCTAAAGCTCAATTTAGATGAAACCGTAAGCTAGAGTCCCCACATCTTATCACAGCTGTATAAACCACCATTTCACATGGAATCACTGCATTTACATTTACATTTACATTTACAATATCAAATCTCAAATGGGTCTTTTTTTTTTGTCTCCTTTGTATGTGTCTGTGAGTGTATTTTTAGTTAATTTGGTCTGCCATTCTTTTATGTGCATTTGAATACACTCCACTGTTCTGAAACCTAAAATATACTCTTCATTTCTTTTTTTGGTACCAAGGATTGAACTCATAGGTAGGCGCCCATGCCACTGAGCTAAATACCCAGCCCTACTCTTCATTTCTGAAGTGCAGATGACAAATTTGCTTATTTCGTTGAGGAAAGAACACTCAAAAAATACATTCTCTTCCTACCACAAATTTTCCTTTAACCAGTTTCCTTCCTTACTGTTTCTCAAAGCCTAAATACCACTTCTGCACTAGATACCATCCCCATTGTCTATTAGTAAAGGATGCTACACTTTAAAGTATTCAGATGTACAAGAGACCACACACATGCACATTGTGATAAATATTATGATAAAAATGAAGGGTCTTGTTTAATTTCATTTGCCCTTATTTATTGCTCAATTTGATCTTTCATTTAATGTCAAAATTCCTCAAAATTTTTGTTTACACATTTTCTACATGTTCCCTCTTATTCTTTCTTAACCACACTTCAGTTAAGCATTTTCCCCAATTTTGCTAAAAACGTACTTTGAAGTCATCAGTGACCTCCAATTTAGCAAAACACTAATGAAATGTGTACCTTCGTTTTCCTTCATCATTAACAACTTAGGAATTTGACATAGGAAGTAAATTCCTTTTAAATGAAAATCTGTATTCATCTCTTCATTTTTTTGCTGCTTCACTGGTGACTTCCACCTACTGCCTTATTTGCTGCTCCTTGATTTTCCAATATCTATGTGCCATATTGTTCAGGATATAGTCACATGCTTCTTGTTCTCTATTTCTGCACTCATACTCAGCTGATTTTATCCCATTTTTTTACTTCAAATACTGTACCAGAGATATGGTGAAGCTTCAAATTAAGTATTTTTTGAGTTTCAAATTTACTTACCCAATTGACTTCATGAGAGACACTTGGATACCTCACACATGCTCAGAAAAGAACTCCTGAATTTTTTCTAATCTTCCCTCTTATTTGAGCTTCTCAATCATGATTAAGGCAAATACTTGGACCAAAAATCCAGTTATCTTGATTCTTCTTAATCTCACATCAACGCATTGCTCACAAACTTTCTCAAATTAAGTGATACCGTGTTATTTCATAATTCTACAATAACTTCTAATTTCTATTAAGCTCAAAACATGTGCTCTCTCATTATTTCTATCATTAGCTAATTCCTCACCAACAATTCATACCATTAGAATGCAAAAAACGCCCTGCTTTTTCTCAACCACATAAATTTTCTTTCCTCTTCTAGAATATGGCAATTGTTATTTTTCCTTCTGGAATGTTTTGCTTCCTCATTTTGTTCCAATTTAATTTTGTATACTATCTCTCTGGGTAAATCTAACTTCCCTACTGAGGTCTTTTCTTGGTTAGCATCTCTAATAGCACATACACAACATTTCCTCTTCTTTCCTTGAAATTTTTATCTTTATTTCTTCTCATAATTTACCACTACCCCATATCACAAATTTGTTTACTTGTTTCTTTTCTCTGACACTTCTAGAATGTTAAAATGCAATAAGGTTGAGATTTGATCTTGTTTGCTGTTATATCTAAATTCCCAAGAACAAAGATTCAAAAAGCCCTATTCAGTGAGTAAATATGTTAAATGGCATAACATATATTAAAAACAAGAAAGAAACTCATGTTTAAGAAAATTAAAAAATATTGAGTTGAAAAACTCTAGCTGAAATGAAAAAGAAACCGAAGTGCTACGGTTAAAATTTACTATAATAATTGCTAATTTTAAAAACCTTCTGCTGAATTTATTGTTTTTCCTATGGGTTTGCTTGTATACCACTAGTAGTCAGAACAAATATCAATGCCTTAACTCAGAATGGTACCCTTAACATTTTATTCACTTAATCCTTAGGGCATAACCAGTGCTGGATTTATAGGCAGACAAAAAAAGATAGTCTTGACGACTCATTGATTCGGAGGAGTGATGACACACTTGGAATTTTCTTAATTGGAATAAAGAGTGTTTCCAACTGTAATACTGTGTTGTAAAATATATAACTAATGGATAAAAAATAATGATTACAATCGATTGAAGTAATCAGAATCTTCTTAAAATCTAAAAATAAAAGATATAATTTGGTTTGTGATTATTTTTAAAAAAGGGATTTACTTTGATAATGCCAAATATTTTTGTTTGATATATGTAGGTATGATGTATGTATAGAAAATTTTAAATGTTCTTTGGTACAAGTAAATTTATAGAGTTCTACTCAAAATTCTTGACAACCCCTACATCATGATCTACTATTGGCTGTTGTACCAAATCAGAAATATTTAAGGTATTTGATTAAAGATTTTCTGTAAAGAAGTAATGTTATGACTTTAAAAGAAAAGAAAAATGTGAAAATCAACAAAAGAGTAATTTTTATGGAAACTTCTTTAAGTTATTTTCTGATTATGCCACACTAAGCATAAGAAAGTACAAATTAGTCCTAAATGTTAACCATACATTATATCATTTGAACAAACACACAGAGATAAACATACAAACACATACATTAAAAAATCAATCTTGTGTTGATCTTTTCTGTTTGAACAAAAAATGTTTTACTTCTAAGCACTGGTAAACCCTCGTTCTCTAAACAAGGTAAAGCATTTGAACAAATAATTGACTCCTGTTTGTAATTAGCTGCAGTAGCACATTGCTGAGTTAACACATCAATCAATTTCTCATGAATTATTTTTAAAAAGTGAGCCCTTATTTTTATGAGAAGGTGTACGTATTATATTTAACAAGATGACTAAACTTTGGCGCAGACAGATAGTTGTCGTACAGTAAATGTTATTTCAAATAGAATCATGAGAATCTACAAAACTCTAGCTTCTTCTTTTGCCAAAGTAGCTAAAGTTGGTGGATCAATTTTAATAAATACGATGTAGTAAAGTCACTGACAGATGGAGATCAGACTGACCTGCAGACTACCGTATTGTTAGAATCAGAAGCCAAAAATTAGGAAGATACACATAGAACAAAATATTCTGTCATCAAGACTGTTTGATTTTCTAAAAGTTTACATGTCAAGACAACCCAATAAACCTAAACAGGTGTTCTGAAGGGTCCTGGGATAAGTTGTTCCCACCCTCAATATTTTCCTACCTGGATCATGAACCTATTACAGGAGCCCTGAAATGGGACTCAGTAGATCTACTATCAAAGTCCAACTTCTCATCTACTATGATTTATGAGGCACTTTACTCAAATGATTTTAGGTCTCCAAGCCTCTAAAGAGTTCTATATGTTTAAGATACCTTTCAGAACTAAAATTATTAATTTAAATTAAGTCTCAAATTAAATTCTTATATATACCTAAGGCTCATTACTCTTGCCTTATAATTAAGTTCATACCAACAATGAAACAAATTACTTTTACTTCATGAATTGATGGCTCTTATAATTATTACTTTTCCTTCCTGGTGCTATGCAAAGCCCAAATAACAAAATCTCACTGCAACAATAAGCAGAAAGATTCTTACTATATTGTATAATTTACCAGCTGTATTGATGGCTTCCAAAACAGCATGTGCATACAACGGAAATGAGCACTAAAGTCAGGTGGGTTGAGTTCTAATTCCAGTTTTATCACTTCCCAGCTGGAGGACATTAAGCTATTAAACACCCACCAGTTAAGAGAACCTTCAGGAGGGCAAAACATCATTTTTTTTTCCTATACCAAACACCCAGTAGGCCCTGGCTTACTGTAAATATTTGTTGAAAGAATGAACTCCTTAGATCTCAGTATTTCATGAAGAAAGATACTTTAGAACTAAAATGACTACTTTTATGACATTTAAAAGACATTTGCAATGTGCTTCTTTTTTCCTTAATACATTATAAAATAAAACGGTGTCATTAAAGAGCAGATCGTTTTCTCAAAAATATCCATTTGGGTTATAATATCTATAAAGGCAATAATGCACCCCCACGTATAGTCTAGTATCAATTAAGTTTAATTTAAAGTATGTATCACTCTTGACAATATAAAATGCTCTCTTTATTCTTTTTTTGCAATTATATTCCCTGCCTCATCAATGGGAACATTAGCATCATCTCACTGCAGAATCTCAAGAGAATACTTTCACTCAAAGTAAGAGTTTCCTACATTTCTAGATTCTCGTGGTCAATCACAGAGTCTCACATATCTTGCCTGAATAAATCATATAAAATTACTAATATTTGGCCACTTATGGCCTACAACATGTCAATTTAATGACTTCAGAAAGAGCTAGTAAATAAACATTTATTCTCTCAGATGTATAACTAAAAAACTAATTTTCACTTAGTTCCTAATTCTCACCATACCTTACAGAATTGTCCAAGTAGTAATGTTACAATCCCATCAAAAACAATGAACCAAGATTATCTGGCAAAAACATCTTATTTGTTCTCATACCATTAAAACTGAAATACAACCAACTGTTCCTCACATTAGTTCTGATAAATGAGGTGTGTCTTCCAGGCACATCCAGCAACCCCATACTGCCCTTCCTCCTTCCCTCTTTTCCCAGGATCTAGGCTGAATGCTACATTTTCCACAAGGCCTCACAGATGCCATTTTGGGTCTTCATCTGTGCTACTATCTATATGAATACCTCACTAGACTTTAGGACTGTATTCCAGTTAGTATGTCTCTTTTTACCCAAAGTAAAAGAAAACAATTATTCAACCCCAAATGTACAGGTACACTGAAAGATTCTTTGGTGTCAAGGTCTTTCATTTGAAAAACTCACCAAATTTTACATGGAGATTCTAAAAACATAAATCAACATTACCATTTTTTGCACAGCCAAGCCTTTTTGTCCAGAAAAATCAAATACATGTCTGGATTACACAAAAAGAACGATGAAAAATAAAAACAGCATGGCAATTGTCATTATGTATTATTAAACAACAAGAACAAGCAACTCACCAGTCTCAGAAGTCCTTATGGAGAGGAAGGAAGATGACTGATTGCCATGACCCTGCCTGGTATAGCACCTGACAGAAATGTTATAGAGGGTGTAGGGTTTTAAGTCCCTTAAAATTATGTTTGTTGTTGAGGTGTTCTTCTTAAACAAAGTATCAACGTTTTTATAGAGCACTTCATAAGCAACAATAATTCCATTGGGTTTTTGAGGTGGTAACCACTTCAATCTTATTTCACTTGATGAAACATCAATTATTTCAACATCTTGAGGTGGAGATTCTGGCTCTAAAGGAAGGAAACACAGTTGTAAGTGCATGTTCATGTTTACTGTTTCAAACAAACAGGTACTGGTGGTAGAGGCCATAGGTACTTAACATCACTTTCATTTTTTCTTGCTTTTTGTATACAGTTGCACCTGGTATTCTTACCATCTTCTGGAGTTGTCACATAGATGTCATTTTCTTCAGACAAAGAACTTTCTCCAACGAGGGTTGAGGCAGCCACTCTCATTTTGTATTTTGTGTATTTTTTTAATCCTAAGAAAATCAAGAGGAAATTTGTTTTAAAGTCTTAAACTAAAATTGTTGGATTAGTGCTATGTAATACAGGAGAAACTGGCTATCCAAAACAGCTTCCATGTAATGCAGGATCCACAAATTGCTTGCATTTGAAGGCCTTTCCAAGTATACAATGTCTGAGTTGTTCCCTAAAATATAAAGATAACAGCTTCAAGCTGAAGTCTAATTTTTGGCACATGGCAAAAAGAATTACTTCTGCTGTTTTTCACATTCATTTATCCAACTCTTCAATGGTGTTTTATTTCAATATACCAGATATATTTCCTGGGTTAAGTAAATTTCTATGAAATTTGTGATCAGATTCTTTTTATTTCTTTGTGGATAAGTTCAGCTAAAGAAAAACATATTTAATCAGTTATTTCTCCTCGTGTTTTTAAAGCCATCCTTGGGAACCTAGAATAAGAAAGTTTGGAATGATACATCATATGTCCTGAGATGTTTAACTTATGGAAAGATGCATATTTTCCATTAGAATAGGAATGAAAAGTGATGCAATTATTTTTTCTACCTGTTATGAGAAAGCTGTTATCTACAGTAGTCATCTGGAATGCTCTGTTGGTATCCAGTTCCATTGCATAAATTGTATAATGAGTTATTTTTCCATTGGGATATTCTGGAGGATCCCAATATAACAAAATAGATGAAGAACTAATATTTTTATAGTTTATAATTTGAATGGCGCTTGGCACTTGAAAAGAAGAATTAATAATTAATATTAATAAAAAGAATCAGTATTACTGCATGCAAACACAATGTGCAGGTGATTCCTGTAAAGCAAATGCATTTTTACCTTGCTCACGTGTCCTCACACTGAGAACCGCTGGTGGTCCCTCTCCCATGATGGTGAAAGCAGATACACTAATCATGTGCTCAGTGAAAGGTGCAAGTCGCCTGATAACATAAGACAGCTGTTCAGCCTCAATGTCAGTGATATACTGATTCCTAGAGTTCCCTGTTTAAAATTAGTGAGAAATAAAAGTATTTAGTTTCACAATCAAAATTATTTTTGCTTCAGGAAACCTAATAGCATGTTATTCATTAATCTCTTTATGCACTCCTGTGTGGAAAAGGTGGATGTACAAGAATAATAAATACAGAGGTCAAACTGTATGTACCCCCCAATAACATCTATGAACATTTTGTGCTCATAATACAGATATGCTTCGTGATGGCACCATTATTTTCAAAAAATGTGTAACTTTCTAAGGGAGACTGGCTAAGAATTTGTTTCTGACAATAAAGAGTGGGCAATAATATAAAATTGAACTATTATTGATTCTGAACTTTAATAGGAGATTTAAAGAAATGGTGATTTTATTTGGACTCAAAATTCACAAGTTCACCAGTCCCAATAATTCTTTAAAAGCGAACATTCTTGGACAAATGACACATAAATATGTCTGAACAAGAATTTCTGATGCTAAATTTTTATTTTAATTAGAACTTGTGCTTCCAAAGTCCTAATTGACAATTAGGCCAAATTTGAAATACTTAAGAAAATACCTGTGTCAGAAGTCATCAGTCTCTCAATTATTAACACTGCCCTTAGGGTACTTTGCACAAGATAAATGAACCAATAATTGAAATAAATCCACATTGAATAAACTATAGTATGTTGTTAATTCAGTCATAGGTAGAATAATGTACACTTCTATTTACTATGGGACAAATACTAAATTGGAGAAAATACAATGAAATAATATGCGCTTCTCACACAATATTTTATAGAATCTACAAAGAAAATATAAATCTGTGTCGTCTAACCAAGTATTTTAATTTGCCATATATGACATTCTCCTTTTAAAAACAATAAGATCCACTGACCCTGCAGAGCAAGTGTACAGACTAATGACATCACCACATCGCTAGGGTCACCTACACCTGTTTATCACCCTTGCACTGGAGTTGTAACTTTCTGACCTATTTACCTTTTGTGACATTTGAAAACCTATTAGTCAAAAGCTACAGAGAGTGTGAGGTCTGTAAATGATTTGAAGATATGTTAATCCCTTCCCATCACACCTGCTTTGGCAACTGTAATAACTGATTGTCTATGCAGCTTGGCCAGAGACTCTAGGGTGCTACTTTCTCTAAGAAGAAGGTCAAACGGGTTAGGAGGGGCTGGCTCCTGCCTGTGTGGCATTTCCATTTGCTACATGGAGGTTATCCAACAGTTTTTTTAAAAAAAGTCCAACTGCAGCTCATGGGCCATTAATAATATAGCTGAACTCCAAGCTAAGGTTCATATCTCTGCTAGCGAGTACTGGTGGTTTAAATGCACTTTATAGAGAAATAAAAATTCACCTACCAGATGGTGAATTCTGGTCTTCAGCTTTATTCTGCATAGGAAAAGTACTATGTGGATGGCTGCTATACATAAATGAAGCCAGTGAGTGCAAGTCCGAGGACATCTCTGCTGAACCCTCATAAATTCCTATCATTGGATCCACTATGTCCATCATTTCTGGAGATATGGGGTTGTTTACATACTGTAATTAAAAACAGATACTGTAAGACTAAAAGTTCACAGTTACTGATTTAAAAATTTATAGCTTCAGAATTACACTTTTAAAAGATATTATTTCCATGACTATTGTCTTTTTTACCTTCCAAGATTTCATTCACAAGCTACTATAACCCTACATCACTGTAACACATTGTAATCACTGTTCTTATGAAACCAGTATTTTATTTTGGCAATAGGTAAATATTTCTTTTTACTTAAGTTAATTTCTTTATGGTAAGAATAGAGAGATATCCTTCTCCAAGGGTTCCATGATGGAGATATGTTAACTTTTCATCCCTTAAATGGTACATTTTCTTAGAATACTGACTTCTTAAAATGAGTTTTGTTTCCTTACCTAAGTATCTTTATTTGAATAGTAGGTGTTATTGTCAGTGACAGAATTTAATCAAGTATAGGCAAGGGTAAAACAGCAAAGTAAGAATTTTCAAACAGGGCTCCTGGCACACCAATCCAAAGTTCTAGTTCCAAGAAATACTGTCTGAAATTGCAGTTGTTCCTGGATCACACAATGTAATTCACACATACAAGTTCTTCAAACTGGCAGATATTAAAGTGAAACATCAGGAGCAGATTATGGATATGCAGCAGAGATTTATGATTCTTTACATTCTTTCTGTCAGTTTCTTTCCCTGTTATGTTTCAAATCTCATGTTCAAAACATCTTTTAAAGAATTTCCTTATCAACACAATGCTTTTGTATCTATGACATTTATAATAAATTCATAACATGTGTTTCAATTTTTAAAAGTGTTGGTACCTATCTTTTGATTATCTTACATATTTTGGGGCTATCTTCATGCCAAAAACCAAACAAATTTTCTATTCCTCATTAACATCTAAGCACTTAGCAACTTCTTTTTAAAAAGTGGATGCTCAGGAAAAAAATTAAAGAAAGATGAATGACTTTAGGGGTGATTTAGTTATAAATATCAGCAAGGACACATTACTTAAATGTTAACTTTTCTGAAATATAAAAGCATGGAGAAAGTGTTCAAGAAAATCCCTAGTCCTTAAAAAGATATTTATCAAATAAAATTATCTAAATCATAGAACACCTTTAGCAATGGAAGTATTATGGGAAAAGTAGGGAGATGCTATGATATTTACTCTGAAAGAGTTATGATAAAGAACTCTGGGTAAGAACTTCATAGCAGACAAGGCCAGAAAGAATCTTCTATGTTCAAACAGCTCACTTGAGCTCTGCCTCCTCAGGGAAAGCAGAGAGCATGAATCTCAAACACATAATTCAGAGATGTTCTGGTATCCCGGTCAATAGTTTATGCCTGAATCCACACAGCTGTTTCTACTATCAATCAGTCACCCTTTGAGAACTTGTGTACAAAGCACTACGGATAGACAGTGAAGTAGTGCGAAGAATTTCCCCTTGAACTATGATTTTGCACTAAATCTCTCAATATTTTCTACCCCATGGCAGATAAATTATTGAGAGGTAAACCAAAGCATTCCACCAATTAAATAAGTTAAGCATCTCCATTGACAAAGTGCCATGTTTAAATATGGTGACTTGAATGCTGTGAATTACTCCTAAATTCTACTATTCACTGGAACGATCCTTCAAAACTAAAGCAGTTATTTTTAACATTAATTTGTTAACAACCAAGAATGTTACTAAGTATGCTATACTATGAAAAATTTTATATTCTGCCTCAAAAGGACATTGGCATAAATGTTATGTTTTTTCAAAAAGGAAAAATCAGTACTTCTGACAGCAAAAATGATTGGGAAGAATTAAAACTTAAGGGGGTAATGGCAAGAGGAAAAAGAAACAAAAATGGAAATGAGGGTAATAGAAGTAGGGAGGAGTCTTTTGTAACACTAAAAACTTATGGACCCTTCAAGTCCAAATGACTCAACCTCAGCCCCGCTAACATCCCATGTTAGACAGTTTTGTAATGGTTAGCTGTCCTGTGCATCCCTGGTCTTTAGCCACTGTCAGCATCCTCCCAGTAGGGACACTGAAAATGTTTTCATAGATTACTATATGTCTCCTGGACAGCAAAGTTGTCCCCTGGTTTGAGCATTATTGGGTTAGGAAATGCCATAGTTCATCAACATGAAAGGCTCTGCATATGCTACTCAAGAATCCTTGGAATTTATTTGAAAGAATTAGTCTTCAGAGTTAAATTCCTAATCCACCTGAATAAACTAACTTGATCTTACATGTAATAGTCCTCATTATAACAAGTATGATTTTATTTTTTATAAAAGAAACTATTATAGCTTTTGATTTAGACTCCTTGGAGGTTTGCTGAATTGCATTAATTAAATGTTTAATCATCTTAAGAAACATTCTATTTTAAAATAAATTTTGCATTTGTCAAAAAGTAATAGAAAGTTTAATATCATCATATGTTTGGAAACATCCTAATGGATATTGTATCATTCTGCAGTTTATCTGGTAAGCAAATCCTTGATTATATTACTCATTTTTACCTGATAAAATAAATTAATCTCACAGCCTTCCTAACCTACTTTCAAGTTCTGTCCTCAACTTTGTACTGGCCAACCACTTAGCTGTCTTATTCTCAATTTCACTATGCACAAACTTTGACATATGTAGGGTGAAAAAATATATTAGCATTAATCTCAAAAGTTTGTAATACGAAACAGCAAGATGATGTCTATTGGAGAAAAAAGTCTTAAGCTTCTAATAGAAGAACAAGAATAAGTTGTATATGTGGGAAATTAACTAAAAGTCAGTCCATGAGGAAATAACTTGCAAGGGTTTTCAAACTCTAGTCTCAAAGAAATTAATTTTAATTACTGATTATTTTAATAGAATAAAATTTACACCAAAAGAGAAAAATAACTGCTAAATTTAATTCTAGTTAAAATTCTATGCAGACTATTATGTTTGACTGAGAAGATCATTAACAAATTAGAAAATATACAGTGGAGAATATTCCATGGTAAGAAGAATGTGAAAACCATAACTAAGAAAAATTGAAGACAAGATGCCTGAAACTACCCATTGTCTTCACTATCAAAATTAAATCAATGTATATTTGTTATTGCTACAAAGACTAACATTTTAAACTACTATTTGTCAAGCAGAATCCTAAATATTTGCCCATGCATATTTCCTTACCATACATAATATATGCGAATGGCTAAAAAAAAAGATAAGATGGTAAAATGTTACTTATGAAAATAAAATGCCTGGTCTATTCCTTCCTTATTTCAAGACTTACTCTTCAGAAGCAACAACTTTCGCCATTTGTGTTTTTAGTTCCATGGTGTTTTCTACTAAAACGAATTAAATAACCTACTGTCTGGTAAGGCTTACTAATTTTAGTGTCCACTGATGTTCTGTTATAAAAGTGAGGAGTTAGACTACTTAAATAGATACATACACGCTTTCCTTATCCAATTTCAATTTTTTTTTGTTACTTTCATAATGTGACTAGTGTACCCAAACCTGGAGGAATTCTTAGGATATATGTGTGGATCATAAAACAGTGGGCTAGGAAAGCGTGCTGGCCAATCCCAGGTGGGCACCCATTTGCTTCACCTCTTGTTGTTCATGCTTTTCATAATCTCCTCCCTTTGAACTAGGTGACATCTGTGACTTGCATGTGACAAGGGTGTTGGGATATCATCACTACCATGACACATTATACAGATCTACCTTGCTGGTTTGAAGAAGTGAATGGTCCTGCTGAGAAAGCCCATGTGATAAGAACTTACGGGGTTGCAGGGAGGACTCTAGGAACCAATAGCAGTTGCCAGACAAGAGCCAGTAGGAAGCCAGGGCCCTCAGTCCTATAACCAAAAGGAATTTAAATCTGCCAAAACCTGACAAGCCTAGATAGTCTTCCCATCACACCTCCAGACAAGCTGAGATCACAATTTAGCCAATTCCTGGACTGTAGCCCAATGAGCGAGAGAGCCTAAACAGAGAACTCATTTAACCTGTGCCTGAAACTCCTGACCCACAGAAATTGTAAGATAACAAATGTGAATTGTTAAGATTGGCTAAATTTGTAGCCAAGTTTTACTGAACATTGGGAAAACTAACATGGTAAGATTACAACAAAAGTCCAGGCAAGAAACTATGCAATCCTGAGCTGGAACTGGAGCATACAGACATGTATGAAAGTCACACTCCGGAGGTAGAAACAACTGGCCTTAACACTAAGTCATTATAGGATGCTAATTAGAACCCGAGTTAGAAACAGACTGCCAGACTCCCGGAGACAACTCCCGGATTCAAACATTCATGACAGAGAGAACAGAGGTGCCATAATTCAAAAAGAGGAACATCAGATGCATAATGATGTTAGATATGCTCACTCTGGAAGCCATCTGCATTGTTCCTTAAACAGTTATCTTTAGGTTAAAGATCTGTAGTATGCTAATAGAAAGATACAAGGGTACTCTATGTTTATAATTTGGTACCCTTAACTCTCAACTTTGACAATAGCCTCTCTTCTGACCGTGCTTTTTGTTCTTGTGTGACCTGTGCAGTCTTCACAGTTCACCACTATGTCACCAAATCACTGTATGCATAGTGTCTCTGCCTATCCCGAGTTCATTTCCTCCTCATTTCCATCGTTCTGTTACCCCCAAGAAGAAATTTCATCTCATTTTGTGAAACTTGCCTTTTATTGAAACTAGTTTACATGTGAGGACCCCTGGCAGAAATTTCCCACAAATTGAAGCCACTAGGCATATGGTGTCAGAAAGACCAGAGTGGAAAGCCAGGCAAGAATCATACACCTATGAGGCAGTAACGGTCACTAGTTCTTCTAGTTTCATTTTTAATTGTTTAAAGCCAAAGTGCTATAAAGTCACACTGTATAAAGTAGAGAAAGTAGTAAAAACAAAAATGAAAAAAGCTGGAAAATGAGGGGTAAAGAGAGGTTTGAGAGAAGAAAATAGAATAAATGTGGTTAAAAGCATTTAAACACTGCATTTGAAACTGGGGGAATCAGTGCCGATTTTGAAGAAGAGGTCTAGTATGTAAAAGGTTTCAGAGACCAAACGTAGATCTAAGTAATTAACAGTGAATGGGAGAGGAGAGTCGTTAATCTGACAAAGAGACCAAGGTCATGAAAAGAAATAATAAGTATTATGCCAGAGGTTTTGTCTGTTCTGTCATTTACTTCAGGTATTGTGAGGTGTAATGTAAGTTCCATTATAAAAATGAAAGCGCCAGCTCTCTAGAAGTTGAGCTGCATAAGGTAAGATCACAGGCCTGAAGCATGTAGCGCAGGACCAAGGACCGCAGGCCACTGGACTGAAAGCCTCTGCGTGTCTGCTTCCCACATCACCCTCCTGAAAGACGAACACAAACAAATCATGGAAAGAAGCAGAAATACCAGAATATCTGACCTAACATAAAAAGATGGCATCACAGAAATAAAGTATGATATTGCCTTTTATTGAAACTCAGAATTCATTCTGCGTACTGAAGAGGGGTCAAAGGTTCAACATCACAATTAATAATCCCACAGGTCACAATGATTAGCATATCACTTACTACACGCCAGGTAAAGGTCTAAATGCTTTACACACATTAACCTATTAAATGTTCATGATTCATCCTTTATAATTTACAATTCTGCCTTTTTTATCTGAAGTTCAGAAAAGCCAGGCCACCTTCCCAGGATTAAACAGTGATAACAGCAGAACCAGGTTTTAATGTAAGCATTCTGTATCCTGAGTCTATAGCTCAGGAGAAACTAGATCAAGATTTAAATAATGATTTGTATGACTCCAAACTCATGTTCTCTCTACTGTGCTATAAGGATCAGGAGAAGAAGAATCATAGAATCTCATAGCTTTCAGAGAAGAATGCTTGCAGCAGGCAATTCAAAAGCTGTCAGCAAAAGTGGGACACCTGCCACCTAGTCCTAAAACAACCCAGTACCTAAGTGAAGGCCTTCTCAGCGGGAGGAAAAGGTAAGGCTCCTTCCCTGTGCCTGAGCTCTCCACTACACTATCAAAGAAAGCCTAACTTCAACATCCTTAGCAGAGGAAAACACTCCACAAGGAACTGAAAGTTTAACCTGGGGTGGAGATGGCGAGCAACCTGGAGTGATAATTCCTAGGTGGCCAGAGTGCACTGACTGTGTGGTCAAGGAAGTACCAGACGTAGAGGAAGCTCAGGACTAGAAACAGTACCACAGTGCATAGAGAAAAAATAACAGCACAGGGACCAGCTCCGAACCAAAACCACACAATCCAGCCAGGGAATAATCATCATGTCTGCCTCCAAGGCCTAGGACGCCTGCACTGGAGCTAAGTAATGTTTGTTCTTTGAGTGCTCCAGGTAAAAGCCATTATCTGGTTATGGCGGTGACCCAGGTTGTCACAGGTAAACAGGTGACAAGGTGTGCTAAATGAAGATGATGAAGCCAAATCACGCTGTCCATACTTCTTAATACAAACAGAGAAGGAAAAACTAGATTCCCATTGTAGAAAAAGGCAAACACAAACCTGTCCTCTTATTTCAATCTATTAAAGGCTTAAATCACTTTCATTTAGCTTGTTTTAATTTATAATTGATTTCTTTAATCAAATATACTTTTTTAAATAAGGCAACTCTGAGACGTTAGGTTCCCATGACCAAATAGCACACATTTATTTGTTAACAACAGCTACTAAAATTACTGTGCTTTTATTGGCAACTATTCCAAAGAGCAAGCTTTTGAGGGATCATTTAAATAATAACAGGAGTTGCCAAATAATTTATGAACTGCATTAGCATAATAAAAATCACACAGAGGAATGCCTTTAGTCTTGTTTATTTCTCAATTAACATTTTACATACACTAAAAGAGAATAATTGGACTTAACTATTAATGTATGTTCTAAAATGAAATAAAATCTAGCTAGATAACCAACACAGCAAACTTTATTTCACATTAGGAAGCTTGTCAGACTTTTGTGTTGAACACTGCGAAATCTGCCATGATATCCAGACGTGACCAAACTGAAAGGATTCATCAGGTTTGGGAACGAAAGTACAATACCTCATCTTTTCCTAGAAGCAAAGTATTCTCCAAAATCACTCCTGTCTCTAGAACCAACACTTGCACTCGGTATTGGTTAATGATTCCATTTGGCTGCCGAGGTTTCTTCCAAGTAATTGTTATTTCTGTGGCTTCCACCTCTGCTAATTGTAAATCAAATACTGCACCTGGAGCTAAAGAAATGAGAGAGAGAGAGAGAGAAAGAGAGAGAGAGAGAAAGAGAGAGAGAGAGAGAAATTTAAAAACACATTTTGAAATGAAAATATTTCCTAAGTTCTCAATTTATGGCTTAAAATTTAGAAACAACTCTTCTAGAAAATTGACTAAAATAATATAATTTATTCAATATTAAATATGGCATAAGGTTCTCTAAAAATACAGATATTTACATTTCTTCACATTGTAAATAAAAAGTATGATAACATGGAATGATTTTCCAAAGTCAAAATGCCATAACAATTGGTCAGAACAAAATAATCAATAAAATAACTTCCCTGAGAAGCTGTTTGTAAGTGATCAAAGCCCAGATGAAACCTTGAAGTCTTCAAAAATTTTAGTGAAATACCAAAAGTTAATAAGCTGAATACTTTTAATACAAAGAAATATAATTCAAAAATCCAAAAGGGCCATCTTTACATTATTACATGAAATGTTGCTGCTGAATTTTCAGATTAACTATGTGACTTTGAATTTCAGGTGACTTTATTTTACAGTAGTGAAGAAAAACAGGGACAAACTAGCAATTCGTGTAAGACAAAGCACCTAGTACTTAAAGAAACTCTAGTGACCAGCAGTGACACTTAGGAAACCTCCCAGTGCCCCCAAAGTAATGGACTAAGTGTAAACTTCACGGTTTGGACTAGTTTTGTCTACAGTTCATTGTGTCAATATGAATAGTCCTCCAACTCTCACTTTACATAACTATATAATTTGGACACCATTTTGTTTTGTAACTACAAAGGACACTGTAAAGAACAAATGGATTAAGACTATTACTAAAATGTAGATTCAAAAAATAAGAAAACGATATGAAAAGTTGGTCTCATAATCAGGTTATTGTAACATAATACATTAATTACTCTAAGCTATTTCATAATAGTATTGCTTTAGCAAATTTTTGACAGAAGACAGGCACACCGCCTTAAAAGAAAACAAGAATGATGCTGTTCCTTCATAAAACAATAAAAAGAAACTGAAAATAATGTTGTAACCCCCTTAAATATTTATAATTAGTGAACAGAATTTTGATTAACTGTGTAATAAATTATAATTTATAAAATGTTCATCAAATAGGTCGAGTTTTTTCCTGTCTTCACGAAATAACCAGTAAGTAAAATGACTGTTATAAGAATATAATTATTTCTGACTATTTCTTGAGTAGTTTGTGATTAAATGAGTAACTTAATCATCCTGATGGTCAAGATTCTAGTCTTCAGTATTAGCAAAGACTGTGCTCATAACTAGGGATAAATATAACATGAGTACACCTATAATTTGCTAATTCTTTGAATCTGCTGTTTTGAAAACATTTTGGTTTACGTGTATAGGTTGATCTGCCCCTAAGTGTTCTAATCTGATGAGAAAGATTTGATCTTAGGAGGATGTAGGAGGAGGTTTTAGACTAGTAGCCCATAATCATCAAGTCACTCATTCATCATCCAACAGTCTCAATATTCATCATATTGTCCTGGTTCCAGACACCTGAGAACAGGAGGAATAAGACAGGCAAATTCTTTTGTCCATAGAGCTTCTATATTACATTTTTCTACCAATAAATTTCCTCATGTACAATGTTCAAGGGTGAAAAGTAACTACTGATGAGAATAACACAGGTATTTAAATATCAGAGTTATTGTCCTATCTTTTTTTTTACACTTTATTTGGGGTTGCTATTTAGAAAAAGCCTTTACCAGTATTGCAAAATGTAAATCACAGACGAGATGGGAATTTTCCCATTTAATGTGAACTGATAATATAGAACTCTAACTGAAGAAAAACAGTTACATAAATCAATCAGGTAACTGAACTCTGTTTTTCAAAAATAAGTGAAATGATCAATTCCAGTTGATACAACAGAGTAATAGACTATAAGGATAGCAAAAATACAGAAAAATAAAACATATATATGTTTTATATATTTTTTCAATGTCTCTAATTTTATGAGCCAAACCTGTAGTGGTAGCACATATTATTTCTTTTATCGTTTAATTTATATTTTTCAATAAAGCTTAAGTACTGATTCACGACACTAATCCCTAAAATTGCAATTCAAGTAAAGATTAAGTGGTTTTGTATTTGCCTCTGGAAAAAAAATTTCTTGAGGGATAAAGGAAATTGAATAGACCTCATCATATCTTGTCTTTAGAAAGATACTTGATCTGTTATACCACAAATTCTTATAGAGAAACCAGAGACATGTGGATTAGATCTAACTCCTTTAATATTGATACAAAATTAACTAAAGAAAATCAAATACACAGGGCAATTATTCATGGTGTAGCTTGAATTTTGAAGGTGCTGTCCATCAGACTACTTAAAAATCATTCTCAAATTTATACATTTATACTAATAAATGAAAAATAGCAGTCACACAGTTGTTAAAAATATTCCAAATGATTTAAAATTTGCAAATAAAAAACTATTAGGAGAAAGGAAATGAGGGAAAATGACACTGTAGTAAAGAAAATGCAAGGCTGGGGATACACCTCAGGGGCATAAGTGCCTGCCTGGCAAGAGCAAGGTCCTGAGTTCGAGCCCCGGCACAAACAAAAAGAAAATGCATTAAAATATCTTCTTGCATTATCTATTAACTCAAACTTCCATTAGATGTGCACTTTGAAAAGCAAGTAAAAGCCAAAGACATTGGAAATCTTGAAAAACAAATCTGATAGGCTTTCAAAGATTGTTCAATATAGATTTTATTACTGTTTACAAAAAATAATGAGCTGAAATTACTGAGGACAAAGTCTTGACTCCCATAGAGAAGAAAACATAAATATTAACAAAATGTTTGATTTTAAGAACCCGTAATGTTGAACCTCCTTTTACGGTGTCACTGACAACAGTGACAGAAAAGTGTTATTAGGGGAAATTGAAACACAAAATTGATTTGGAATGTTTTTTACCGTCATAGAAATAATAAAAGACTGTTGTCTGTGTTGCATTTATCAGTGCTACTTGATTTTGGAATAGGCAAATTTATGACATTTTGTATTACTGGAGATTATTATCATTTTTCCCAAAATCATCTCTCTTTCGTGTCTAGGTATATATCTGTTCAGTAAAATAGTAAAGGAAATATATAGAGAAACCTTAGGAAATATTAAAGGGAAAGTTAACAATAAGATGTTGATTGCACTGTGAAATACACTAGAGATTATAACATCCTCAGTGCTGGTAAAATCAATCCACTGTAATGTGATAGCATGTATCCTTTCTGTAAGAGCTCCACTCAGCATTTGTCTATACTTTGAGAATAGAACACCAGTTGTTTTAGAAGATATTAATTCTAAAAAAGCAAGATAGTCCTATTCATTTTTACAATAGGGTACTTTTAAATATGAAGTAGAAAATGAGTAACCTTAAGTGAATACAAAGAACCGTGTGATAACAATGAATGAAAAAGAATAATGTAACATTAAGATATCAATTTAATTCAGTGTAGGCAGTTCTAATGAGTTATTGTTCTCATGTAAAGTTTCCTTTATTGAGAAGTTTGGATATTGGTACCAGAATTAATTAGCGTTAGAGAAGCAGAAAAATTTACTTTCTGCATTGGCTCCAGCATTCAATAGAAGTAAATTCTAAGGCTGAGCACACCGCAGAAAATTCCTTAGCAAATGGTGAGAACAGAAAATGGTGAGCGCAGGGCCCTTTCTCCATTTAGAGGCGTCTACCTGTTGCTACCAAACCCCTATGAGAGCCACTAATATAGCTCAGGAAGGTAGGATAAAAACACAGGACACACTGCTTTTCATACAGAGAAAAACAGTCATCTGTTCAAGATGATTGGTATAGGAAACAGGCTACGTGAAATGCACTGAGTGTTCTTAAAATTCTACTTACTTTGTGACTAAAAAGTGTAGAAATAGGAAGATAAAGTTTAAAGTGAGATACCAAAAAAGGACAGTATTGCACTTATGTAGCAACGTATTTTTTTTTTTTTTGTCAAACACTGTAGACCAAGAACGACAGCCATAAGCACTAATATTGAAATGTGGGTTCATGTTTAGAAGCTCCTAAATTGTGTGGACTTGAAAGAAGACCAAAGTTTGAGATTTACACACTTGTGTAACGCAAGAGAAGATAATGGGTTGAATAGTTCGCTGAGAAATGCTATTCAGAACAAAATCAAGAGCTCTGCTATATTTGATAGCCATCCATAAACCTCTCTAGATTTCTGGAAAATGTTTAAGAGCAGTTTTCAGACAGAGACAGAGGAAAGCTTAAGGCCTAACAGGAAAGCCACACCCAACTAAACCTCTGCTGATAGAAACAGAATGGTAAAATTTTAATATCAAAATTGACAGTGTTTTCCTTATAAGTATATATTCCTGTCTGTATACTGACACTATGGGTACATTAGAACTTTCATGTCAAATAGAAAAACGTATTTTTAACCTTCTTTCAACAACAAAATACTGAGGTTTGTTTTTGGTAGAATGAAAAGTACAAAATTTCCTAATGATTGCTGCCCTCTACTGGCCAAATACTTGAATGAGTTATCTGACAAAGGACTGCCCAATCTAGTGCGTGTGGATTCTCTCGCCAGCTATTATATACTAGTTAACACATACAATTTAAGTATTAAGTTACTGTGTAAAACGACTTTTTGCTTGTCAATAGTTTAGTCTCTAAATAGACATGAACACATTTATACCTAGTATGATCCAGGAAAATATATCGCAAAATAGCACGTAGACATTTCTTAAAATAGTAGTGTTCACCCACAATAATGATGTTGGATAAATATATATAAGAAAATCTCTGAGCAGAAGTATTGTTTATTTCAGAAAATGCTGATAAATGTTTGTATGGCACCATCAGAAAGTTTATAAACATATTTCCATACGTGTCAGGAATAGAGAGATTCCTCTAAAAGTCATTTGAAGAGGTAAACAGTGCATCTTAAAGAGTAAAACTGAAAAATGTTAATGCGTGTTCAATTTATGACTTCTTGAGATTTAGCTGATTTCACTGAGTCTCTTACAGCCTGTGCATATTTCCTAATCTTTCTTGATCTTGGATTCCTTATATTATTATTATGCTATGGACTTAATTTTCTGGAAAACACATGTTCAGAATAAATTAGATAGTAATTTGATAAGAAAATAATGTAAATTAAGAAAACATAAAACAAGGTGCTTCTAAAATTATGTTTTACAAATTCAATAAAATTCCCAAGCATTTAAAAATGTCTCATGAATTCTTTAAAGGAGATGTTTTTACCATCTGGAGGGGTGAATATTGAAAGATTTGACTTGGGTCCGACTCCTGCACTGGTTTCAGCCGCAATGTAGACATCATACATTGTAAATGGTGTTAGGTTAGTGAACACAAACTTAAGGTCTTTTGTGCTATTATCCAAAATCCAACCTGCAAAATGCAGAAGAGAGCTATGGATTTTCATATCAAGAATGTAATCATTCTCATATTTACATATAGAACCAAAAACAGTAACTAAAGCATTAACCTATACACTAAAATTGCAATTATAACATTGAAAGTCAATATATTTTAAACATTTGGCTTAGCAGTTGATTAATATTAATTAAATTGAAATAAAGGAAAGTACATGAAAATCTTCCTGTATTTAAAATTACTTTTATTAAATCATAAAGTTCTGTTGAATTGTAATGTTATTTTTGACATACTGAAAACAGAAACATCAGATTATACCCATATTTATTCAATTAAATGGCTAAATATTCGCATTATTTTCTGTGACAGGCCATATGTAGAAAATATTTCTACTTAGGCTCTTAACAAACTTCCCTGAATAGTCTATTAGCAAAATTTCTTTAAATCTTCAACTTTTTCTTTGCATATTTTCTTCACCTTCTTGTCTTACTGAAATCTAACCTGCCCCTAAGAAAACTGCTTCTGTTCCCCAGAAGGAAACACGGGTGGTGACCACATTTTATCACCCGCGGCTCTCCGGGAACGGGGTCTGCATGGTGGGAGCTCCTCATGGTCTCCCTTGCACCATCCCCACCCATCCTGTCAGCTGTTTTGAAGGCCCACGGCTTTAACTTCCACAAGGCCAGTGGCCTCCACCAGCCCTGTAAGTAACTCACTCTCATTCCGGACAGTTTTAACTCTTCCATCAAGGCTACACTCTTAGCTTGTGAGCATTTTAATATCCTCAGATAAGCATTTTATTGCACCGACTCCTCCATCTGCCTCTCTGCCTTATTTCTGCCGGTCACTCCTGGTCATACACTAGACATCACAATTACTAATGACTACCATCATCCGTTGCATAACTTTCATGCGATTGTCACTGACTACTTTTTCCCATCTCTTCTTACTTACTCTAGAACCTAAACCAACACGCAGCTCATTGACCTTACTTACTATTTTATTTTTTTTCATTCTGCTTAGTCCCTCACTACCTACTCTCTACTCTTTTTCCAAACTTTTTAAAAAATTTTTATTAAAAGAAAAAAAAAAACCAAAACAGTAAAAAGGTACAGGAATACAGAATTTCAAAAAAAATTAACAGTAAGAAATCCCTAGTTAATAGATTACATATTGTCATCTTAGAAATAGTTGTTCAAGTTATAGGACTAAAGCATACAAAGTGGACATTCAAACAGTGAGACTGCAAACAGTTGTGTTCAATGAGCCAACAAAAACTTAGTAATATGGTCATCCATCCTACACACCTAAACACACCTGCAGTCGTATCCTTTAGAGCACTTTCTTTTCCTCTCTTTTTTACAATAACATTTACACATTTTGGGTTTTATTACTCCCACAGTTCTTATTACTTTTTTTGGAAGAGAATAAAACCAAATATGACAAAACAAAGCAGTCAGTCAAAACAAAGGATGGACATAATACATGATGTAAAAATAGAATACAAGGTAATCAACAATGGTTACCATAATGCCTCTTGCTACCTTAAAAAGAATTGCCTATATCATCAGGTATAATAAAATTGAACAAAACAGTACAGAACAAAACCAATAAAACCTAAACATTGGAGACATCTTTTCCCAATACTGATGAGACCACAAATTATAATCAGCACTATATGTATATAAAATGATATTAATTGGAATGCCATTATACTTTTCTCTACATCTTTCAATAAAAGCATTGTATTTTAACATACACATTTTCTTAAACTACTTTTGCTGAAAAATATGAAGAAATGTATAATGGCATTTCAATCAATATTATTTTATTCAAGATCATATTCTAAATGAAGCCTAAAAGGCATCAAGAATTTTATGCACATTGTACATCTTAGGATTCCAATCTCTCTATAATTTCTAGATGATTATTTTACACTTCTTCTCCTCACTCAAACCTCCAAACTCTTCTGCCTCCTCTTCATTCCCACTCATGGGTATGATTTACATTGCACTGAAAAATTAAATCATCCAGAAATGATCTGCACAGACTCCCGCCATATGGATACTGCATCTCTATTTGCCTTACAACCTATTACTACAGACAATTGTATTTTTTATCTTAATCCAATCTCTTCATTTAATCCCAGGCCCTTACCTTCTACCTACATAAACACTTTCCCAGTAATTCTCATCTTCTGTATATCATTATTCTGTCCATTTTCTTCATTCTTTTCAGCAAAAATGATGCTTTATTTATCCTTAATAAAAAAGAAATCTGTTTACTTATTCCAACCCTATGGCCTGTCTCCATTCATGGCTTCACTTTCTAGCGAAACTCAAAAGACATCCTACATCTACTGTTTAGTGTTCTTCTCCGGTTCTCCCATAAGCCACTCCAATCAGTCATAAGCCCTTATAAACCATCATAGGGGCTCACTAGTGATGCCATGTTGCTCAGTAGGGCAACTGTTTAATTCTTCTGACTTGATTTCATCTGCCTACCACACAGAGGAAAATGTATCTCAGCCAAATCTGGCAATTGGTATCAAACATAAATTAGTCTCTATATATCCATGTATGTTTCTGTGTATTGTGAGGGTGAGGAGAATTGTAGAAATTGTATTTCAAAAATTTGGATGCATAAGCTATTTAGGAATGAGAAATAAAGGTTACTCCTATGATTCATACCATAGAATTTTCAAAACAGAGCTTGGAAATTTGTATCTTTTTCAATTCCTTCAAGTAAATGATAATATGTGGCTGTAATATTTCATTATGTTTGAATTAAACTTCTTACAGGGAACCAAAGAATCATAGACTAAGAAAAATTTTAGAATTTATTCTCCTCCTATAATACTTGAAGTCTTTAAATTCCCTCTGGATAACTAGTGGATGTTCAGGTCTTACTTTTTATAAAGACAGAAAATGTATCACTTTAAAAAGACACTCATTTTTAAAACACTATTTTCAGAACAGCTTCATGTTCACAAGTAAAATGGAGCAGAAGGTACAGAAATTTCTTGTATTTTCAGAACGCTCTGATTATTAAAAATAAATTACCTGACATATGACTTAATATAAGCTAGGCCATTGTTCATGAATGTAAGTCAGGAACTTTTTGCTCAAATACTTAAAAGCATATGTCTCCGGTGATGCTTTACTTAGGTAACTTATATTTTTTTAGGTAACTTATATTTTTTTAGGTAACTTATTTTTTATTATTAACTTATATATTATTATTAACATACTTATTATTAACTTATATATTACTATTAACTTATACCTGTTTATTATTAACTTATTTTTTAGGTAACTTATATTTTAGGATGCTTATATTTTTCCTTTGTGTTTTTTGTGGGGGGGCGGGGATCAGGGATTGAACTCATGACCTCACACTTACCAGGCAGGTGCTTATGCACCTGAGCTAAATCCCCAGCTATAGTTCCTTTATCTTAACTTGGAATATGAAATACAAATACCATTTTGACATCATTTTACTCAGTTATGGTTGTAAATAAAAACTCCAAAGAACTTCACCTTATTACTTTTCTAATTATCTACTTCAATTAGATGGTATTTAAATTTTTTTTAATGTTTTATACTAGTAATGCATTTTATAATTGTTGCTCTAAAAGGTATACATGAAATCAATTAAGACTTACCTGATGGCCCATATAATTCAACTCTATAACTAAACTTTCCTGTTACTATACTTGGTGGGTCCCATGAAATTGAAAAGGATTTCCCAGTGACATTGCCTGTTATACAATTTTGTGGTGGTCCTTCAGGCACTAAAATGATTATAGAAAAAAGAATACTTAAAACATATGTAAAATTTCAAAACTTCATTAAATGTACTAAAATCAAAGTTGGGTTTTAAATTAAAGAAAAATAGAATATAATTGAAATATTTAAATAAGACATACTAAATCATCAGATTAACTTCTTATGTACAAATACTATATTTATTTAGTACCATATATAATTGCACAATGAAATTTCAATCTTATATTCCCTATAAAATATTCATTGCAAAGCCTAGATTGTTTTGAAGCACGTATCATACTTATACCACATTCAACAAAGTCTATATATCTGGCTTCATAAATATTGTTCCTCTGCAGATATATAAGAGGAAAGGTAAAGAAAATAACCGTCAGAATATAATGGAAATGATCTTTACATTTTCACATCAACATTTGTTCTGACAGGAAATTTATACTCTTCAAATAGAAGATTCAAATGTGCACAGGAGTAATAACAACATTTAAAAATGGCCTGGTTACATATCAAACAATGTTGCATCCAATTAATAAAACAAACACTACTAGATATAAAAGATCAGGTAAATACCAACACAATTATAATAGAAAATCTCAATGCAACACTGTCACAAATAAACAGACTGACTAGACAAAAAGATCAACAAAGAAATACTATACTTGAATAAAATCTTTGAAAAAATAAATTTAATAGATATCTATAGTATTATACCCAAGGACAACAGAATACACATTCTTTTCAGCATCATGTAGAACTTTCTCCAAAATAAACCACATACTAGCCAATAAAGCACGCTTAAGTAAATGTAAAAGAATCAAAATTGAGGCTGGGGATTTAGGTGCCTGCCTGGCAAGTGCAAGATCATGAGTTCAATCCCCGGTACCAAAAAAAAGAATCAAAATTATCCCATGCATATTATCAGATTATAGCACAATTAAACAATAACTCAACAGCAAAAGAAACCACAGAAGTTATGCAAATTCAAAAAATTATTAATATGCTCTTGAATAATCAGTGAATCACAAAGAAATTAAATAGCTCCTAAAATTTAAGAATAATTCCAATATAACACAGAAGAATTTATGAGACACAATGAATATAGTCTTAATAGGGAATATTATCACTGTGAATACCCACATCAGACAAATAGAGCAAACCCAAATTATAATCTAATGATGCATCTCAAAATTCTAGGTAAACTTAGTTCAGCGGCATAAGCGCATGCCTTGCAAGCAGGCAGTCATGAGTTCGATACCCGGTACTGATAAAAAGACAAAAAAAAAAAAATCTAGGTAAACAAGAACAATCCAAGTCCAAAGCTAGTACAAGAAAGGAAATCATAAGGATTAGAGCTGAAATCAATTTCACAGAGACTGAAAAAATAATCATTGAATAGAAGAGCTGGTTCTTTGAAATAATAAACAAAATAGGCATTTAGACAGTCTTATCAAAACAGAAAAGACCCAAAACTATGCAATTAGAAATGAAAAAAGCAATTGGACTGCTGAAATTCAGAATACTATAGTAACTACTTTGAGAACTCATATTCTAATAAAATGAATGGATTCCTAGATATATATAAACTATCAAGAAGACTTTAAAACCTTTAATGATCCAATTTCCAGAATATGAGATTAAAGAAGTAATTTAAAAAAAAACTATTAAGAAAAACCCAGGTCTCAGAGAATTCACTGTTAAATTCTATAAGAACATTAGGAAGATGAAACATCAATACTATGTAAGCACTTTTGGAAACTAACATTACTTTTGGAAGCTAGAAAAACCAGAAACGGACCCAACCAAAAGAAAGAACTACAGGTCAAACCCTTTAATGAATATAGATTCAAAAATCCTCAACAAGAGACTGGCAAACACAATGTAACAAATCATCAAAAAGATCACATATTATTTCCATTAGGATTTAGCCCAAGGATGCCAGAACAGTTGAACATACACAAATTGAAAAACAAGATGCAATAATAAAAATAAAGTGATCATCTCAAAAAAGCCATTGACAAAATTCAATTTACATTAACTATTTAAAAAGAAACGCTGTATAGGTATAGAAAGACCTTATCTCAATATGATAAAAGGCATTCATGACAAATCTACTGCTAATATCATATTAAAAGAGAAAAACTAACATCTTTGCCTCTAAAAATATTGAACAATGCATGAATGTCCACTATCACCATTCATGCTTAATACAGTACTCAAAACATTAGCCAGAGCCATCACTTAAGAAAAAGAATTGAAAGACACATGTATATATAAGAAAAAAGGTCAAATTACATTTGCAAAAGACATTGTATTTATACAAAAAGCTGAGAAAAATGAAATTCAACAATGTAACAGGATACAAACTCAAAATACAAAAATAGTGAGACTGAACATCAATAATGAAATCACTGAGAAAATATGAAAACAATAGCACTCAAAATACCATAGTAAATACCTAGGAATTAAACTAACCAAGGAACTGAAAGACCTCTACGATGAAAACTACATTATCCTGAAAACAGAGATGAAAGAAAATATCAGAAAATGGATATATGTCCCTTGTTCCTGCCTGTTGACAAGCAGAATCAATATTGTCAAAATGGCCATACTTCCAAATAGCCACACAGATTTAATGCAATTCCAGCCAAAATGTCAACCGTATTCCTTACAGATTGAGAGAAAATGATCTGAAATTTCACATGGAACCCGAGAGACCGAGAATATTAGGTAATTGTAAGTAATGACAGCAAAGCAGGAGGCATCAACATTTCAGATTTCAAGTTATATTACAAAGTTTCTGTGATTAGAACAGCATGGCATTGCCAGAAAAACAGACATGTGGATTAATAGAATAGAGCAGAAGATAGAAAGAATCCTAAATAAATCCATCTATCTGAGCTTTCATAAAGGTGTCAAAAAGATATACAAATAATACTGGGAAAACTGGATATGCACATGCAAGATTGAATCTAGACTTATCTCTCCCACCATGTATTAAACTAAAATCAAAATGGATCAGAGATCTAAATGTTAAAGCAGTCTTCTGAGAGGTAAAACTCTTGGAGCCATAGGAATAAGCAAGTTTTTCTAAACAGAATCCCAGTTGCATGAGAAATAACATCAAAGTGGAATCCCATCAAATTAAAAACCTTTGTACAGCAAAGGAATAAACCAACAGGCTGAAAAGACAAGTTACAAAATGGGAACAAAATTTTTCCAGCTATTCTTTAGATGGAAGACCAAATATCTCAACTACATAAAGAACTCAAAGAGTACACCTCCAAAATAAAACACTCATATAAAAATGGGCAACTGAAATGAACAGATACTTCTCACGTCCAATAATTACATGCAAAAAATGTTCAACATCTCTGGCCATTAGAGAAGTGGAAATCAAAACAACAATGAGATTCTACCCTACTCCAAGAAGAGTGCTATTGATCAAGAAAGCAAATAATAACAAATGCTAGAGAGGCTGCAGGGCGAAAGGGAACATTTTTGCATTGTGGTGGAAATGTAAGCAACTGACAGCTGTGTCACTAGGAAAATATATAGTGTGCTTCCATAAAATTACCCTATTAAAAATTTCTAATACCAACAAGAATTAGACACAGTTGAATATCTGACACTATGGTATGATACATGTGATGTATCAACCATCTATTATATTTATACTAATATATTGATGCTATGGTACTGTATTAGCACTCATATAAACTGAATATAAATATATTATATGAGCTTTGTTTCATTTAAATAAGTTAATCATTACCCCTCATTATTACATTTATTTTGTGTATTTAAATATCCATGACTATAAATAAATATTCACTCTCAGAATATTAATATCTAATCATAGTAATAAAAACATGTAATTGTCATTATTTAATCTAATATTAAAGCTATACAAGGGTACTTTTACTGTCTCTGTTTATCAGATAAAGACATTGCAGTACAAAAAGAATATAAGGAAGAATATATTTTAACTTCTGTTTTTTACTTATACAGAAATGTTAATCACACGCTAGTCTCCTATTGCAAGTATTCGCTCCATATCTGGTAATAATAGTAAAAGATAAAAGTGATAGAAGATGATTTAGAAAGGAAGAGATGATTACGAAAAACTGCAGAGTCACAGAGTGATAATTGCTGGTCTTAGGCTCATAGGAGCTAAAGAAACCTTTTCTTCAAATCTTTCTCATCTCAGATGCATATCCTTAGCATTGTGTCTAATATAAAAGAGTATCAAAATTTTCAAGATACTCCAGATGGGGGCCTACTATTTATTATTGCACATATAAACACAGCAAACAGTTACTAACCAGTAAGGAAGATTAGCACAACATCTACATGCTCAAAATTAAAGATTTATGTTCTTGTATAAGTCATTGAGCACTTTTTTTCTAACAAAAAGGAAATCATACCTGATTCTGGGGTTCTGACAATGGTACTATCAATATAACCTGCTTCAGTTGTAACAGCCGAAACTTCAAAAAGATACGTTGTGTAAGGCCTCAAATGTGTCACTACGAAGCTGATGGGCTCTTTCCACACCGAGCTGATCTTACTCCGCGTCAATATGCTAGAAGAGAACGTGGTACGCAGTGCCTGTGTAACTCTGCCAATGGTCGGAGAAGGACTGGTGGTGCTCCACAGGAAAGACTCACTGTTTTCCTAGTGAAGAAAACAGTGTCAGTGAAAACACAATGTTACATCTTTTGGTAAGCACAAGAAATATAACTCATTTCTTTTCCCTTATATTCTCTCTCTCTCTCTCTCTCTCTCTCTCTCTCTCTCTCTCTCTCTCTCTCTCTCTCATTTTCCCTCTGTAAAATTTTAATAAATTACATTATGGACAGATTTGTTAGATTTTTATTATATTCAATTATTCTAAAATTTTAGATAAGAATATATGTATTTCATTCTTAATACTTAATTTTCCTCATGAGTAAAAATTAAAAGTGACTTAAAGATAAAACTACAGTAAAATCATTAGTAAGATTCTTAAAACTCATGTAACTGTGTAAGGGCCAAAGGGTTAAAATAATTTCAAGCATAGACCACATTCTGATCCTATGTTTTTTTATCATAAGCACTCAAAAGATAGCACCACTAGTAATACATGGTAGGTATTTATATGTGTGCATATGCATGTGTGTGTATTAGAAGTATCTGAATTTGAAAAAGGTTTTGAGACTTCTATAAAATAATAGGACAAAAATAATGGTGTTGAACATACCAAAATAATCACCAAAAAGGCCTGAAGCACAGCATTTTATAATACTTCCTGAGGTTTCTCATCAGTAACTTGAGTAATAACAAATTATTTACCAAAGATATGCAGAAAAGCAGTCTACCTCTGCAAATTAATCATTGACTATTGCCTTCCACAAATCCTCTCTACTTGGCACTTGGTGGTGTAGTCTTTTCTACAATTATGTTTCACAATTTTATACCACAGAGATTTATGTAATATCTTCCACCTAGAATCACCCAGTCACATCTTACACTTTCAACTGCTGAGACTTCTAATGTGACTACCTGGAGTGTCTCCACAGATTACCAAACATTACTCCTTAATGAAGTCTTTCTGAATACCCTAAGAAATTTTAATATTTCTTAAATTTTAATATAAAATTCCCAACCCCTCCAGTAACATACCTTACATATAGCCAACTACATATAGAATGTTTCTATGGCCAAATAGTATAGATAACAAAGAAATAACAATTTCCATAAAATATACAGTGTCTAGATGCTAAGAACTTGAAGATAAGTTTATCTAAAGTTTTTGAGACATACAAGATGTTCACAATACTTACATTACATTCTGGTAATTTCCCATTCAAAAGGTCCTCTACTCTGATTGAGACATCTTTCACAACTATCCCACTCCTGGCATGTTTGACACTAATCTTGAAGCTAGTAATTTTGCCATTTGGTTGCCGAGGTAAATACCAAATCAAGTTTACTGCTGAATAGTTGAAGGCCTCAACTGTAAGATTGACCACTTTCCCTGGAGCTGGAGAATGAAAAGGATTGAAAGAGACAGGAAAACCTTGTTTAGAATAACATTTATATATTATCAGGGTGTTAAATTTCCATGTTATAAGTATACATTGTATAAAATCTACTTCAGTGTGACTCATAAGGCTACTTTAATTGGTGCTAGCCAAAAAAAAAAAAAAATGGAAGCAATGTGCTGATTTCAGGATTATTGGATCCATATGTGCATTGCTGAGACATTCCTCAAAAACACGAAAAAATATTCAGTAGTCTTATGTAAATATGCAAATAGTTCGTGACAAATTTCTTACTTCCTTAAATATTTTGCACCCATGTAGATCTCCTAGATGTTGAACAAAGTGGAAAACCGAAACGATTATCCAACCAACAACACCAGAAAATATCTATCTGGCATGTTTATAAATATCTAGTGCCTAATGTCAAATAGACAGATACCCAACCAACAGGTTGTATTTTTGTACCTTGAGTTTTATACACTCTCCAAATTATCTTTCATCAGATTTTTATTAGATATTGCTATCAATTCTTATCTATAATAAAATCTCAATCCTATTTTAGTTGGAAGGAGAATTATATGACAGCTAGAATGAATGAAAATAAGTCAATTAATTTTACAGTAAGACACATTGATAGAGTAAATATTCAAGATCCTGAGTCTATACTGTTAAGTGAAAAACGTCAGACACAAGAAGTTAAATACCACATGGTTTCTCCTACATAAGAAACCAAAAATATAAATAGAGCAAAATAAAGGAGAAATGGTATGAAACAGAGGCAAACTTTGGAAAGGGAAAGAAGATTAAGGTGGGGGGAAAGTGACTGATAATTTTATATATATTGTATCTTAAATATTTCTGTAAAACAAGTGTAAATATTATGTATCATAACTATATACCAATAAAAAATCAAACAACTCTATATGCTTCAGAATATACAACAAATCAAAACAGTGCAAAATGAGGTAAAATATCATGTGATAGTAAATGTGACTAGTATTAAAATGCCAAATAACTGGAGTTTAGATTTTTACCTAAAAAGTGCCAAAATGTAACTTTCCAATCAAAGTCCTATAAATTATACAAGAAACTTAGGTCTAGAGAAAGAAAGCTGTATGTGATATGATTTAGACAGTAGGAATTTAAAAACTGCAAGATAGCTGCATTTTAACGAAAGTTACTAGATATGATCAGCAATGGACAAAATAAAAGACAGAAATTTTTCTCCAAGGAGAACTGATAAACAATGAATGTTTAGGAAATATAATGGCAATATATTAACACTACATTAAGATTTAAAATTTGAATTTCTTTGGGATGTATAAAATGTAATAAATCCAAAGAAAAATGGTCACTAAATGACAGGAAAAGGTTTTGGTGGGTTGAAAACTTACAATTTTCATAATGGATGCCAATCATTATTTAAAATTTCTTATTTGTATAGTTGATGTATATTTTATAAATATCCTTGAAATGTATATAAATAACAAACTGCATATAATCTGACACATTTTCAAATGGTTCTTAACAATAGTCATAAAAAACTAATCAAATATAGATAAATTTGAAATTTATAACTTTCAGCAATACTTCCAAAAGAGTAAATCTTAAATGTTAAACAGATAGGAATCAATTAAATCTGCTAAACAGCATTTAGCGAAGGAAAGTATATCAACCTGTTTTAAATAATTTTAGCCTCAATGTATTAGTATAGTTCCCTTTTGTGAGCTTATGATGTTTGGAGATTGATTCTGGCTCTTTTCTGGGCATCACAAGTATTTAAAAATATTCTATCTTTTACCTCTTGATTTTTGTACTAGAATCTCACACTTCTGATTATTTGAGTGAATTTATCCACCCTGATTCAACTAATGAATACAAAAATATAAAAATACTATATTTATATAGTCTTTTCACCTGTCAAACCAGAAAGTGTCTTACCACACTTTTGGAAGGTATGTGTAGACTGTCAACAAGTATCAATACATAATTATGTAAACACATATACAACTTTTCAAAGTGAATATTATACAAAGCACACATTTTTGAGGCATTAAGAAGCTTATAAATTGAACACAAGTTGAACACAAAGTTATTTCCTATGTTTTTAGTTAGAAAATGAATTAGAAATATTTTATCACTTTATCATCTAAATTACATTGTATCTTTACCTGAAATAATGCTGCATAGGAATTTGAGCACTGAAATTTTTGTGCTTTGTGGATAGACTGACATCAGATCAACACAGCACAAACAGTTAAGTCATATACTGGGAATATTTCTATTCACAGAAAAACAAATTACTCCTCACTTAATAATAACAAATGCTACTTATTCATATTTCTCAATTTAAGGTTTAATAAATTAGCAATAATGACAACAGGTACTTGGGAAGAGAAATATATTGAGGATTACTAATCAAATGAACTTCTTTGTACTAAAAAAAGAAATGGAAAATAGGCATGAAGAATTATTCACGTGGTCCAAAGACACGCAGTAAGTCGGAAGCAGGGTGAGGGTTATTTCCACTACATGCTAGAGTTTCTCTAGTTTCTCCCCCAGTCGTTATCTACCAAGAGGTAGGCTCTTTCAAGCTCTGAATATCACCTATAATGAAGAAATCTACAGGAAGTATAAAACATATATAACAAAAACTCTGTCAGAATGAAGCTACAAATCTGTGTGTATCATAAATTTGTCAGGAGGCAAATTAGGATCAGGGTGAAGAAACAAAATAAATGAAACTATTTTCTATGTCACTTAAATCAATTATTTCTCCTAAAACTGAAACTTTAATATAGGTAAATTAATTTTTGGTTTATATGCTAAACTACAAGATAATAAATGCTATTTTATTTTTAATTGTATAAATAACTTGAAAGTCAATATGTTTAAAATTAATAAGAGTATGTTAGGCCTCAAAATCATTTATTTGTAATTTTAAATAACTTCACATTCCCATGCCAATTCCTTATGCAAAATGCCTTTCTAGAAGGGATCTCAAGTAGGAACTGGATCAAAAAACTATTACATGTTTTTTTTTTAAACTATGACAATTATATCCCTTGTAAATACACAACACCCATTTCAAGTTGTCCTGTTTAACTGTTCAAGTTGCAGTAAAACTAGATTTTTATAGAACATTCATAATTGAACAAAATTATAGAAATTATTGTATAGCACTAATCACATATCTGACATAGAACTTAATGATTCACATCTTTATTTTACCCCTAGAATATGAACTCTATAGTCAATACTTATTTTTTGTTGGAAATGACATCATTTATTTAAATATTTTTCTGTATAACTAAATCTAACCTTTTCCTCTTGTACAAATATATGAGAATTATTAATAAATAAAATTACCAACATTCAACAATGATTTATTTTTATCACAAAGCTTATGCTCTACTAACATGATAAAAAAGAAGCATGTAAATGTGTGATATATCAGATGGTTTCAAAGGAAAAAAAATACTGGAAATAGAGATGGACGGGGAGGTAGATATATTCCGGGGAAATCAGTCATTAATCTTTTGATCATTCAGGCAAGAGAGGAGAAAGGGTTGGATGGGGTGATTAGCTAGGAGGCTAAGCATCTGAATATGTTTTGATGATAGTGCAGGCAGACACTGCTGATAGATTAGTTGTTACTGTGAAAGAAGAATTAAGATCAAGACTCTTTCTCAGGCACTGGAAGAACAGAGGGGCCTTAAAGTGCTTTGGTAATGACTACATGTTATGGATGGATACAGTAGTACATATATATACTGGCAAACAAAAGACCAGACAGAAAGACATCTAAATAGTAACACAGTTTTTTGTATGATAAGACTACAAATAACTTTCATTGTGTGTTTTTTTCATGTTTTCTCAAAATTCCCCAAGATCATGTGTATTGACCTTTATAATTACAAAGAACATATTTTAATTTATCCATTAAAATAATAATTTATTATTACCACAAAAGACTAAAAATAATTGAGTTGCCATGTTGTTGGAAATTGCATGCACTTTAGTGTTAGATTTTGATTACATTCCTATTTAAATGACAAAACTCATGATTAAGTTAATTTAAAATAAATAATTTAGGAAAATTACCACTTTCTGCAGTTTGGAAAAGAAATGGGTCACTAAATACTCCAATGCCAGCACTGTTTTCAGCAGCAACCTAAAATAAACCAAAAGTTTTATAAAACTTTTTGCTCCCTAATTAGAGAGAACCTGAAATAGTAAAATTTTTCCTTGTCCATAAGGTAAGGGCCAAAATGATTTTTCCTTTCATTCTTCCAATACTCTCAAGATAGAAACAAATACAGGGCTACTCAAATAGAAGGTATTATTCTCAACATTTTATGTGTGAGAAAATAGATTGAAAGAAATTCAGTAATTTTCCCACAGTCACAAAGAAATAAATGTTTAGAACAAGAATTTATTCAAAATTTAGCCACTTATATCCAAGACATTATATTATGTCTCCAATGAATATAAAAGACCATATATCTATATGGTATGTGATTTTAGAGTTTGTATTCTATTATGCAAATAAATTAAAAGCAAAAATAAATAAGCTCAATTAATAATTTAGACTAAATATTTTACATTGGAAAGTATAAAATTTATTTTTACTTAAACAGTCTAATTCAATAGATTAGAATAAGCAGAAAAAAGTCATAAATCAGAAAAATCTTGACCTTTTGCAAGATCCCTGGAATTAGCTCAGTTTAAATATAAAGCCACCAATTCTCAATGAGTGATTTATGGCAATTTAGCTAGGTATTCAAAGGCACATTTTTCTTGTCTTTAAATAGGAATAATAATATATCTATGACATAGGATTGTTCTGAGACTAAATGCAATAATATAAATTGAGCAGAATTTCTCTCATAGTGTTACTTATACTGAAAATATCAAATGTACCATGCCCAATACCTTTGAAATTCTGTAGTGGCTAACATTTATTTGGAATAAATATCACACAAAGATTCATAAAGTATGAGGAGAGAAAAATAGAGACTTCTTAATGAGATTCAAACTTTATAAAAATAAATCTAAGAACTAGTTTAGCTGAATTACATTCCTCTCAGCGATAGTTTCTTGTATCACTTGAAAATTTAACCCTTATTTATGACCTCCAGCAGCATATCTTAACAAATAAGTTGATCTGAATTATGCATGTTCATAGAAAATATGTTGTGTAATATTCATGTCAAAAATTTGTCTACTCTTTAACCTATATTTCTGAATGAAACAGCTGTTACAACTTTGATTTGTTCATAAATAAAAGTTGATTTATTTTATCTGTGAGAGAACCATACTGTTATGCTACTATTGGTAGATGCTTTTCACTAGTGATTCTATTAGTTAATTCCACAAATAGTCACACTTCCAATAAGGAAAACTTCATGCCAAAAATGATTCCCACAATTTTCTCCCATCCTAAAAGAGCAACTCAATTATGCATGAACATATATTTAGACAGTATTTGAAGAATTTCTCCTCCACAATCAATTATTTTCAAGCATCAAAGAACATATGGGCATTATGTTGACAACATTAAAAATCCAGAAAATATCTCTATACTTCCCTTGGAAATATCATAGATATTCCTTAACTGTAATTTTTTTTATTTTAACCTAAAAAATTTAGAACTGCTTTTTATAAGCTGTTCATTATTCCATATTCAATAGAATATTTTTAAATCTTGTATATTTAACTTTATAAAGGACTAAAACTTTTATAAATACAAAGGACATAGTAAAAACTCAATAAATACTCATTGACTAGAACAGAATTGAATTTATTTCTTAGTAAAACTAGCTCTTTAGAAGTACTCAAGCCATTATCTAAAATTTCAATAAATAGACATATGCGTATAACAGGACTAAGAGAAAAATAGCAAATCTAACTAAGTTTAGTCTAAAAAGGGAATGTTTTTAAACTAGGAAGATGGCTCGGTGGTAGGGCATTTGCCTAGCCACATAAGGGCCTGAGTTCAATTGAGAGCACTGCAAAAAAATATTTTTCCACTTACAAAACATAAATGAATAAATAAATTTATTTCAAAACCAGCACACAGCCAAAAACTTTTAATATAGGTAGGATATATATAAATATGCATATAAATTGAATTAAAAATAGATGAAAACATTTGACCAAATTTTAAAAGGCCAAGTAGACGCTGAGATCATGATTCAGTCTGCCATTCTTCAGTCACTTACTACAATCAGCCACAAGGTTTGACCAGGTGGGAAAAAACTCCTTCAGTTTTAAAACAGGTGAAAGATTTCAATACCTTAACAATCAGTAGGGTTTTTTTTAACAAAATAATTACCTTAATTTCATATGTTGTTCCAGGGTTAAGATTAGTAAGAAGAACTTCTAGACTATCTGGCTTTGCTCTAACTTGAGTATACATGGTTTGCATCCAAGGACATACTTCTTTATACTTAACAATGTAGGATACAATCCTTCCATTTGGATTAGGTGGAGTATTCCATGAAAGAAGAATCCCAGCAGATCCAACTCTTTCCCCTGCTAAGAAGACTGGTGGCCCTGGTTCTATTTTTCAGGAAAAAATAATCATTTGTTAAAAGGTGTATTCATATATTTCCACAAAAAAAAAACACCACAAAATAAAAGTACTTACAAATGTAAACTTTGGAAGTTCCCCCAAACTAATGTGAATTTACACACTCTACAGCTCTGCTATAAAAAAATAAAAAAATAAATGCTTTGGAGAATACCAAGAGCATTCTTTTATAAGAATGCAAAAAATGGAATGCTACTGAATACTACATGCCAAATATTCTTTTGATGCCAAATCACTTTTAAAAGAAACTTCCCTAATGCAAGGCTTACAAATGCAAGAACAAAGAAAACAAGAAATATCCTTACAAACTGAATAATTTCCGAGGAAGGATAGTAACTTGATTTTCAGGGCTCTGTATTATTTAAGTGTTACATTAACAGTCTCTCTCATCCATTTCACAAACAAGGATAGTTATCTTTTTTGTAAAGAAAGTAAAGAAAGCCAAACGATTGGTAGAAGGCAGTTTCTAAATAGATCACTTTCATAAATTTCCATTTTTCTTTAATTATTCTAAACCATTTCATACATATAGTACATATGCAGCCAATATAAGTATTTCTAGCCAAAAGATTTATGCTAACTCCAAATACTTCAATAAAAAGTAATTTAAAATATATACTCACTTGTTACATTTGTTGTCACTGTTCTAACAGGTAAACTATTTTCTGTGTTAGCAGAAATTGAAGAGCTAGTTATATCATACCTACTATCAGGAACATCACTGGAAAAATCAACCTAGAATACCAAAAACAAATAATTGCACTAAAGTTATTCCTGAAAAACCTGCTAAAATAGTAAATGTCACTATCAAAAATTTTAACACTTCACTATAAGACTACACTATTTAAAATATCACAAAAGTTACTCATTATTTTAAAATGTTATATCATGTAACTGTTTACACAATAATTTACACAATCAAATAAAACTTACAAAACATACCATGTTATCAAAACTTAAATCAGTATTTCTATCTATCCTACTTTACTGTCACAAGAAACAACCAGTGGAAAGTCTTTTCAAAATCTACAGTCTATTACTTAGCCTGTGTATTAAAAGTGTATAAAATACCTGTGTCTCTGAAGTTCCAATAAAAAGTAAAAGAAAAATGATAAGAAAATCCATCATTATTACATTTTTCAAGCAGTCGAATCACATTGATGGCTGTAGAGAGAAATGTTGCCTGCATTAATGATTTAAAGACAGATCCTCCTGGCAAGTACACAATTAATGAGCCTGGATTACTCAATAGCTCTGCCCTTTCTTTGTTAAACTATTCATGAACTCTTGGATGACTGGTTGTAGGTTCAGGGTAAACTTAAAAAAAAAAAAAAAAAAGCATAGGCGTTGCTAAGGTAACAGTGCACTGATGCTGAAACCTACACTCATCAATTCCGCATTGATGTTTTTGTCTTCGTCTTACGCTTTTAAAAACCCTCTTAGGAGTAACTTTTCATAGTGAATGAGTTTCATAAAGAACTTTTCTACCAAGAGCAAATATAAATACAAGCAGGCTGGCCACGCACAGTGATGAAAACTATACCTGATATTCTCCACCTCCAAGATTTCTGATAGTAACAAAGCCACTGTCAGGAACAAGATCCACATGATACCTATCCACATAGCCAGAGGGCAGCCACAGTGCAGAGAAAAGGAATGTGTGGAAATATTGATGGTTTCCTGTCTCTCAGGTTCTTCTGGTTCTGATACTGAAAAAAAAATAAACGAGGTTTGAAGTAGTAAAGTTTCAAATAAAAAAGAAAACCAGAAGTCTATGGATCATGTTTCAAAACATCAAATTGTTAGAAAGCAATGAGATTTTTAATGGCTTCTAAGTATAAATGAAGACTGATCATGTAAATCTTTAACAGATCTAATTTTTAAGTATAATACCAGATACATTATATCAATGTGTAAATCTGTTCTTGGACTACTCCTTACTTGTTAAGAGCTGTGGATTGATTTTACATATATATATATATATATTTGTATTTTTTGAGATAAGATCTCACTGTAGTTTAGGTTGTCTTGAATTCACTACGTAACCCAGGATGGCCTCAATCCTCCTACCTCAGCCTCCTGAAAGCTAAGATTACAGGCCAGTGCCATTATGACGGACTACTGACCATATTTGTTCAAAAGTTTATACTCTAATTGAAAATTCTAATCATTTTTAAAACAAATAAATATGAACCATTTATCAATTAACTGGATATTAACCAAACAAAAATATAATCAAGGAAACACTGCCAAAATCTACGAACTTTTTAAAACTGAGTTGATTAGTATTCGGTATTTCTTTAAGAGAAAGTGCTATTTTTCAAAACTGGAAATGAAACAAGATGGTTTTAAAATGTTAAGTCCACTTGCCCTATTTCAATCTTATTTTTCTATCTTTGCTTTCACTGTTTTCAAAGTTTTGTTTATGCTGCCTGCGCCTCCTTAAGGGAGTTTTCAATTATAAAGTTCCTCTGATTAGTTGCCAGGGAGTCAGGCTTGCACTCTGCCTTATCTTCGTGCAGATTCCAGACAAACAATATAGGGCGAGGGAGTGAGATAATCAAGTCATGCATGTGAAAGCATACCTGACACAGACCTACTCTGACACCAAAACAAAGCAGTTTAGAATTAATCATTGAACTCTGTCATTTTAAAACTGTACTGCCAGAAGTGATTTGATCCTGGATCCAACAAAAATAAATAAATCAAAACATTTCCATCATATAAAATAGAAAACATAATAGGTAACTTTCTTATATTTTAGAAGGACTATTATTGAATGACTTTTCTTTGCCTTCTTTGAAAAGCTCTTCTAAGTGCTTATAATGCTTGTTTATAGTTCATTTTATCATTTTCAAAAACACAGACATTCTCTTGGCGTTATCCCCAGTTTTGCATGCGGTTAGTACTGCAATTTCCTAATAACTCTTTAGAAATATTATAAACCCAGACGAATGCCCAGTTTGGGATGGCTAGAATTTCTTCATTGTGCAAAGCTACTGATGTTTTTCCTAGGTAATTCTTCGTACAGACCTACGTCCTGATTCTCAAGTTGAAAAGATATTGACCTTGCTTGTGAGTTCATACAATAGATATAAATCTACCATGATTGTCCAGGCCAGTCAGCTACTGCTCCCAAATACTGATCTATAGGAAAGCTAATATTTTTTCAGAAGTTTCAGAAAATAACTAGTAAATATGAAGCCTGAGGCAAGAAATTACAAACAATAGCTAACATGAGATTTGGAAGAAACAGGGAGTTGCAAGAAATGAAAGGCTGGTTACCAGGATAGTAATGACACAGGTTGTGGTTTTCCAGTTTGTGGTTTATGATTACACACTAAGGGATACTTGGCTAGGAATGAAACCTGTCTCACCAAGGAAAGGAAGAATATATTTGTCTGGAAATTTGCCAATCTGATCAACAGGAAAGGCCTGGAAGTTAAAGGAAAAGTAAGTTAAAGACCTTTCCAAATACAGAACATAGAAATACCAGAAGTGAAAATAATTTGGAAAGGTAGACTGAGTTTCAGGGATCAAATAAGAAAAGGAAAGTATGATGAACATATATATCATATTATAATTTTCTTTCTTTCCTGACTGCAATAGGAAACTGTTGACACATTTTAACCAGAAAGCAATGTGACTTTTTGTTACTTTTGTAAAAATCATTTTGGAATATGAATTGGAAAGAGCCACCAATGTCAGTTAGAGGAAAACTAGATTTTGTGTACTAAAGAAGAGGGGTACAGAAGAGGTATAGAGGAGATAGAATAAATTTCAAGTCATTATTACAGTGCAGCCTCTTGTACATGATCTTGAGAATGGACTCCATCAGAAATATGTGACTTCCTCTCCATGGAATTTAATCTCCCAAAAGTCAGGAAAATTTGAAATACAAGTACACTTTGAACCTAGTTATTACTGCCCAATAAAAAGTCACATCCTGAAGTGGAAATATATGGAATTTTAAGAGGAAAAAATATTACCAGATTAAATTTAATGAGAGCTAGCGAAAGAAATTGTACCCATAGTTAAATGTTTATTGTATACTATAAATTCCCATTAATCCTCAGAACCTAATAGTAAGTAGATGTTATGTGAGCAAATATCACTTTGTTAAATAAGTCTTTTTCTAAAATGTAACAGGTTTTAGAGCCTTAAATATACTAATGTGTCATCTGATTCTCTATGGCAACACTAAACAATAAAACTATCATGTGACCTGAATAGGCAATTTAAAATTGAATAATATATTTATCTTAGATTAATAGACCAAAAGTAGTATTTCACACATATTAATATAAGATTACTAGTAAGACATTCATGGTAAATTTGTTGTACTAACTCAAAATCTGCAGTACATTTTACACCGATGGCACATCTGAACTGGCACAGCCACATTCCGAGGCTCAGCAGTCACAAACTGGACAATACAGCTCAACGGCAGCGCTTAACTTCTTCCTTAGGTATTTTAGCGAATTTACCAAAAGTCCATATTAGAAAGCTGAGAAAGAAGCTGAGTAACATGATCCCGTCAGTATCTACAAGGAAAATAGTTCAAAGACGTTTAGAAAACCTAGATACCAAAATTCTGATAAAACTATGGTACTCGGACCATGGAAAAAGAGAGTAACCAATCTTTAAAATGGAAATACATCATTGGGAGGTTCTGGGTAAATTCTGACTCTTAAGAATGCACCAAGTGAGACCAGAATGCTGTATACCTAGAGTAACGGTGAAAGACTCACTCAAAACAATATCCAAAATACTCAAAACTACAATGGAAAGATATTTTAAAATGAAATGCTAAGTCTTAAAATGGTTCATTTCCATTGCTTTTACTTATATTCCTTATATACCAACACTGTATCTGCTAAGCTAAAAATATCATATTTAAAGTTTTCTGTGGTTAAATCATAGATTGGACATAATATATATTTTGTGAGATATTTAAGCAATAAAAAGAACTAATTCTTATCAAATTTATTGTATACTATACTATGTGCTTTCAAATACTAGTTTATATAACATTTGCAACAATCCCAGGGAATAGATGTACAATTACCTTCTAAAATGGGGAAACTGAGGAATAGAGAATGAAGTAACTTCACCAAATTTTCACGCTAACAAGTGAATGGCAGTGCTTGAATTGAGACCTACAAATCATTTCTTAAAGATTCACTTTGTATAATAGCTATATCTCTAATTTTCATGAAGCAGTTAACAAATAACAGTAATAAATAATTCTGAATTAGTTAACCCTTTACAGAAGACTTAAGCACTTAATAGGATGATCTAAAATTTTGCTTTAAAGCCTAAGATTGTTATTTAAGCTCAAAATACTCCATCTAAATATGTCTTATGACAGGACAATATATATTTATTAAGTAATTTAGCCCACTAGGAACTAGGCACTATGTTGGCCCTATAACTTGAAAAGCCTCAAGAAAATAAATCTGTGTGGGTGTATGCTGCTAATCTTTTGGTAAATTTTAGAGCAGCCATAGGAAACTAAGGAAGCATGTGAAAGCCAAGTAACAAATGCCCATATACTAAGACATCTATCAAGACCACAGCCTTAAGGGACAATTCAGAGTAATTCTCAGTTGCTAGGTTACAATCTTGTTATTTTTAGAAGTATTAATAGTCTTTATTCCTAGTTAAACGTAATTCTTTAAATTAATCCAAATATGATATTTTCTCTTCATACATGAAAAACAAGAAACCCTTGCAATATTTAATTGCTTAGTCCACTAATAATACCATATTTGCCTATACCATTACATGGGCTATTCCTTTTATCTATGAGTCTGGCTTTTTACATACGTGTATGTCCTCTAGTCTGATTAATACATTCCTTATCCCCTTGCAGATGCTACCAGCCACAAAGGACCTTCATCATCTGTGTGACTAGCTCATCACTTCCTCTTCCGTGCAACCACAGTAATCTGAACATGATTCCATTGCCTCTTCTATTGTTTGGATTTGTACTGTGTGTGTCTCCACACTTGTACTGCTTACTACTCTTTGGACATCTTAGGACAATACTTTCATGTGAATCGCACATATTAGGACATCCAAGGCCAACAAACTTTTAAGAGAATAGATTATCCCCAAATCTATCACCTAACTTCCATAGATGGATTTCCATAGCTGGTGTAAAACTGAGCATGATATTACCTGAGCACTAACTCCATGCCAGACACTGTATTACTCATGCTAGCTCAGAAATCCTCAAATTTCACAATAAAATGGGTTTTGTTACTCTAAAATATACTATAGACTTAAAACTGTAAATTTCAAAAAATTATTGAAATTTCAT